AAGTCATATTTTGGTTGCCTTGAATTTGGTTTAATTTTCCTCAGCTTCAGCTTGAATTTGCATATGAGTAGTTGGTGGTCTGTTTCACAGTCAGCTCCTGGCCTAGTTTTCACAGCTGATATTGAGCTTCTCCACTGGTTCTTTCCACAGCAAGTTTAATATTCTGGCAAGGGAATATATACACACACATCTTAGGAACATGCCTGCATGGGTAATTGCATTATCTCTTATCTGTCTGAGATGTTGACTGGTAGATCAAACATTCCCAGACCTCAACACAAAACAAAGACATCTTCCAGGATAGCCTGTGATATCTATTGGAAAACAAGAAGGTATCACATTCCTAGAAATCTGAGGCCTTTGGTCCCTCCTTATTCATTAGCATACTGCTTCCTGGACTTGTTTACTTACTGTAGAATGGATGGTCAAGCCAAGATGAGTGGTCCTACTGTTTTTACAATGCGTTGCTTATCCTGCTTTGCAGCTTAGCCAGGCAGGCCCTGACAAGAAGTGGCTGGGAAGAAGGAACATTGGAGAGAATGAGGCCATGGGAGGAAGAACAAAAATGATGAGAGGATAATTCCCTGCTCTATGAGAGAACCTAGTATTTGATGAATTTCAGTTCAATGCAAAAGAAATAAGGAAAATTAATAGACTTATTACAGATGTTATGTGAATAGGATAAAATACTAGTACCTGGTTTATCTGTTGATTCCCTGTGTAGTGGTGGAGAATGAGTTTGGTTTTCATTTTTTTTTTATTTTATTTTTGTGTGAGTGTACCGTCAAATCAGATCTGACTGGTACAGGAGGAGATTGTTCCTCCTTTTCCCGGCAGAGCATCTGGTGGATTCGAACTGTGTGCCTCTGGGATTGTAGTTGCAGCTCCTTGCCACTAGGCCACCAGAGCTCCCCCTGGTTTTCATTTTTAAACTATGGGTTGGGATTTTAGGTCCTGAAATGAGCCCAAGTGTTTGACAGGTCACATTTCCAGAAAACAAAGTATCAATGTATGACACCTAGATAAGTGTGAGAACTTGAGATGTTTCCTTTAAACACTTAGGAATTTGCTTATAAAGTACATATATGTATATAAACTATAATGAAAATGTATCATTTTGAGTTTCAATCTCAAAGATATTTGGAAGCCTGTGGAGTAAGGAACAGAGTTAGGGAAGGCAGGGAGAAGGTATCGTGGAGGCAGAAGTTACAGACTGAGTGTTGATTGCAGGGAGTCGGGCTCATGTCCTGCTGTCACTGAGCCAGCAAGATGGCATTGAGCAGCACATGGACTTTGACAGCCGTTATACTTTGCTGGAGCTGTTTGCAGAGACCACATCCTCTGAAGAACACTGCATGGCCTTCGAGGGCCTTCATCTGCCTCAGGTACTTCCAGCAGCAACGGGGGAAATGTGGTAAATGTTGCCTAGGGCCACATTTCTGAAAATGTGGTCTAAGACCCTCTAACACCCCCAGAGCCACCTGTGGAGCTAATTAAAGGGAAAGTTCATTCTCTGCTCCCCTCCTTAGACTTTCTCAGTCAGAATCATTGAAATTGTGTGTTGTAAGATAGTCCCTGTGCTTTTCTTAAATAAGCCAAAGTTTGAAAACTTCAGGCCTTGGGGATGAGGTCTCTGTAGAGAATGATATGGAAGGGGAACAAGAAGGGCCAAAGCGGAGAGAAGGTGGGCGTAGACCAAGAATTGTATCCTGCAGATCCCGGGAAAGCTGCTGTTCTCCCTGGTGAAGCGCTACCTGTGTGTCACTTCTCTGCTGGACCAGCTGAATAACAGCCCGGAGCCAGGGGCTGGAGGCCGCAGCTTCCCTTCCCCCACAAGGGAGGAGTGCAGCAGGGAGAAAAGCCGCGGGCAGCGGGAGCTGGAATTCAGTATGGCTGTGGGCAGCCTCATCTCAGAACTGGTGCGGAGCATGGGCTGGGCCAGGAACCTCGGTGAACAGGGCACTTCATCTCGGCCCACCCGCTCCATCTTTCAGCCGTGCATTGCAGGGCCCCCCATCTTGCTTCCCACCATTGTTACGACTTCTAAAAGGCAAGGGCGGGCTTTCCGCCGACGTGCAGAGTTCTCAAGCCGTAGTGGCTATGGTGAGTATGTGCAGCAGACGCTGAAGATGGGCATGCAGGTCCGCATGCTGGACGATTACGAGGAGATCAGTGCTGGGGATGAGGGTGAATTCCGGCAGAGCAACAATGGGGTGCCCCCTGTGCAGGTGAGTGTGTCAGTGGGACCTTGGGGTGGGGGTGTGCCTGGGGCTTCTCTGCAGGGGCATCTGGCCAGATACATGGGGATCCATTGCTATCAAGTTGATGCTGACTCCTAGCAGCCCAATAGAATAGGAGAATTACTTCATAGGATTTCCAGTCTTTCTAGAAACAGACTTCCACAGCTTTCTCCTTTTTATTGCCTGGTAGCTTGGAACCACTGACCTTTCAGTTAGCAACTGTGTGTGTGTGTGTGTGGTGTGTGATTTTACAGAGCAAATTGGTTTTTCGTTCAGTCATTCATGGACATTTTGTTTTACAGCCTTAATTAGAATACCCACAGTCATAGTAATCACATTTCCCCCCACTTCTCTATAATTCTTGTTTCCATGAATCCTTCAATCCTATTCCTTTCTGCCTTCTGGCTTTATCATTGAGCAAATGCTGCTCCTTTGATCTTTTCTGGTTGATTATCCTAAAAAGTGAGTGTCTCACCGGTATTTCTGGTCACCTGTAAGCCTCTGGATGAACATTGGCTGAAAGGAGAGAGTATCAGAAGAATGTCTGTGTTTCATTGACTGTGAAGAGGCATTTGATTGTGTAGATCACAACAAATTGTGGCAAACCTTGGAAGAATGGGAATCCCAGAACACTTGATCGTTCTAATGAAAAATTTATACTTGGACCAGGAAGCAGTCCTCAGAACAGAGCAAGGAAACACTGTCTGGTTCAGAATCAGGAAAGGGTTGCTTCCTGTCTCCATAACTTTTCAATCTGTATGTGGAACAGATCATTCAGGAGGCTGGACTTTGTGAGGAGGAGTGTGGCATTAGGACTGCAGGAAGACTCATCAACAACCTACATTATGCAGATGACACAACCTTGCTTGCTGAAACTGAGAAGAACCTGTAGAAAGTCAAAGACTCACCGACAAAGGAGATTAATCAGAACTGACTTTGACAAGCACTGTGGCAATTGGACAATTAAAACAGACATTCGGATGGCGGGGAAGAAGAACAAACTGGGGAGGAGGGTAGAGAGAATGGTGCAGCAATGAAGGAATGAAAACCCAAAATCCCTGTAAATGTTCATTAAAACTAATAAAATTTAATAATAATAATAAAAAAGTCAAAGACTATAGTCTTCAATATGAATTGAAGCTTATCATCAAGAAGACAAAGATTCTCACCACTGAGCCAATAGGCAGCACCTTGATAGATGGAGAGAGATTGAGGTTTTTAACAATTTCAACTTGCTCAGCTCTACAATTGGCACGCTTGGCACTAACAGGAAATCAAGACAAATTGCACTGGGGAAGTCTCCTGTCAGGGACCTCTCCAAAGTGCCAAAGAGCAGTAGGTGTCAGTCTGGAGACTAAAGTATACCTAAGCACAATTGCTTGCTGTGTGTCACAGAGCTGGACAGTGACTAAGGATGATAAAAGAATTGATGCCTTTGAGTTGTGGTGCTGGACTGCCAGGAGAACAAGTATGTTTGGAGAGGCTGAAACTAAGTTTCTCCTTTTAGGGTAGGATTTTGCAGCTCCATCTCACATATTTTGAGCACATGGCCAGGAGGGACCAGTCCTTGGAGAAGAGCATCATACTTGGAAGGGTGGAGGGACAGCACAGGAGAGGAAGACCCTGTGAATAGATTGACACAGTCACTGTGGTAATGGGGATTAGATATGTCAGAGTCATTGAGACTGGCTCAGGACAGGGCAGGGTTCAGAGCTATTGTACTTAAGGTCGATATGAGTCACAGGGACTTGGCACATAACAAGAACATTGTTTGGTTGAACCATAGTGAAAGTTAAACCATAGTGGTTTGTTTCAGTTTTTTTGTATTTTTTAAATTGAAATTTTAGTGAAAGTTTATAGAGAACTTGGATTTCTATTCATTCATTGTTATAGCTTTCCTCCCTGCCCTTCCCCACCCCCAGTTTGCATTTCTCTTTGAAAAAAAATCATTGTAGTACAATCCCCTCTCAGTCCACTTTGCTATGCAGCTCTTATTCTGGACTGTTGTCATGCAAGTAATACCTAATCATATATGCCTTTTAAGCAGTTTTATTCTTTATATCTTTAAATGCAGTGTACATTATTTATCCCTGCTTTTCTTAGTTTCCCCCCAACCTCCATATCAGTCCTGTTTTATAATAGTGGCATTATGCAGTATTTGTCCTTTTGTGGCTGAAATAGTTCACTCAGCATGATGTCCTCCAGGGTCATCCGTTTTGTATATTTCATGAGTTCCTTGTTTTTCAGTGCTGCATAGTATTCTGTTGTGTGACTATAACACAGTTTTTCTATACATTTGTTTGTTGATGGGTTTTTGTTCCAGTTTTAAAGGTTAACTAGAGCCATAGTCTTAGGGGTTCCACTAAGTGTCTTTTGGACCAGTAACTCTGACTTTTTTTTTTACATTTTTTAATTTTACTCCACATGTCCCCCATTCTGTCCAGAATCTCCTGCTGTGATCCCTTTAGAGTGATCAGTGGTGGTATCAGGGCACCATCTAGTTCTTCTGGTCTCAGGCTCATGAAGTTGAGGATTGTGTGAGTCCATTAATTCTTTGGATTGGTTGATTCAGTACATCTTTGCTTCTTGTTTCAAGATGAGGAGGGACAAATAGTTGGGCCTGAGGTGAGCAGCTGGGTTCTTTAACCACTCTGCTTCAAGACTTCTTTTTAGAATACTAAAAAGAGCTCTTGTACATAGGGTCGCTATGAGTCGCAAGTGACTCGAAGGCACGTAACAACAACAACAACAACAAAAAGAGCTCAAACACTTGACCACCTCAGGGAGAAGACAGGCCATTTGGAAGGCTGAGGAAATTTGAGCGGGACTGTGAAGTCAGGGAAGCATAGCTGGTATTTCAAAACACTTATCCTCTCACTGCAGGAGTAAGGATAATAGAGGGTAGGAGAGACACCAAGGCTAAGAAGGCAGAGGGCCCAGGGACCTTCTGCTCCATTCAAGTCTTTCTAAACCTGGTGAGGTATGTTTCTGAGGACTGTGTCCCATGTCATCTCAAACCTCATCAGCTCAGAGAAATTCCTTCTCCTCCTCCTTTCATTCCTCCATCCCAGGTCTTCTGGGCATCAACAGGCCGCACCTACTGGGTACATTGGCACATGCTGGAGATCCTGGGGGCTGAGGAAGCTGCTGGAGACACACCTTCAGAAGATGTGGAGAAGGGGGCAGGGGCTCCTGTGCTGGGCATAGGTGAGCTTAGGGGAGAACATAGACAGCATGTCTGTGAACAGAGTAGCTGTGACTGGGACAAAGCCGCTCTCAACTAGGCAGTCTCTCAGAACTTTCTTCCATTTCTAATGAATATGGATAACCCTATTCCTCTATCCTCAGCACTTCCCTCCTGGGACTGGAGGCCTGTGGATGGGCTCTATTCTCTCCCATACCTTCAGCCTGAGCATCAGAAGAGTGAAGAATTGGGATACTTGACGCAGGCTGAGTGGTGGGAACTACTCTTCTTCATCAAGAAGTTGGATGCACGTGAACAGCAGCCAATTTTTCAGACTCTTCAGGAGAATATGGATAAGGTATTATTATAGGCCTGAGGTATCTGGGAGCTTTGTATGGTGGAACAGAGAGGTCATTCTCTAAAGAGAGTTCTAGATCTGGGATATCGTTTGGGGGAGGCTGAAACTAGAAGTGTGAGAGTATGAGGGATCCTGCTAAGAGAGGAGGCAAGTGCTGTGAAGGTTTAGTATGTAGAAGATGTGCCAAATAAGGCAACATGTGGCCACCCTTCCCTTACTGTCCAAGGGACCTTTGTGTCTGCTCATCCCTGAAATAGATGCCCCTTCTGTTGACAGAGCCTGGATGAGAAAGTCCTGGGTGACATCTCTGTGCCTGTAGAGATGGCAGAGGGCCTGCTGCAGGTTCTCCGTAACCGCTTTGAGGGCAGCACCCTCGGTGACCTACTCAACTCCCAAATCTACATCAAGTACGGGCGGCCATCTAACGAACAAGGTAGCTCATCTTCGTCACGAAGTCACTCCTGCACCCCAGACCCAGAGAAGTGTAAGTCAGAGGCTGACTTCTCAGAGCAAGACACAGAATCTTACAGAGCACAGGCTGCGGCGGAACCCACTAAGGCAAAACCTGAGCCCCCCGTGGCACAGAGTGATTCACAGCTGTTTAACCAGCTTCTGGTGACTGAAGGGATGACTTTTTCCTCCAAGATGAAAGAGGCAGCCAGTGGTGAGTCAGCTTCTGGGATAGGAGGGTGAAGAAGTTGGAACGGGCCAGAGTAGAGGGACAGGAGAATGCCTGGGAACCACGTATGCATCTTCTTCCCTTTGACTTTGAATATATCTAATGAAATAGTACTTCCTTTCTTCAGTGTCCCTGAGCATGGTGGTCCATTTTCCAGGCTATTTTCCTTTTCCCTCACACAAAGTTGAGAAAATTAAATGCAAACCACATTAATCAATTATGTTGTGCTTAAGTGTCAGTGGGGTAACTGGTTCTGACCTTTACAGGCTTTTCAGGTGCCATACTTCTTTTAGCCACTGCCTTTCCCCCACCAATTTCAGAAATGGCTAGAGGCTTTCGGGGTCCTGGTCTGCGAAGTGCCCTGGATCAGCATGTGGCGGCCGTCGTGGCCACTGTGCAGATATCCAGCCTGGACACAAACCTGCAGCTAACGGGGCTCTGTGCCCTCTCTCAGGCCGTGGAGGAGGTCACTGAGCGGGACCACCCGCTAGTCCGGCCTGACAGATCCCTGAGGTCAGAATGCTCGGAGGGAAGAGGTTGGGTTTAAGCATCAGCAGGGAGAGAGTAATGGTAGACAGGGAAGTGAGGTCAAGATTTAGAAAGACTAGGGGTGAGAGGAGTGTCAGTTTAAGGAACAGCTGAGCAGGATGGGGTTTTATAATGGCTTCTTTTAAGTTTTTAGTGTTTACTCTGTGCTTAGTATTTTATCTGTATTCCCTCATTAAATCTTCCTAACAACTGAGGAAAAGTTAATATTGTTACCCCATTATATGGATAGAAGCTGAGGCTTGAAGAATTTAAATAGCTTGTTCGGTATTACAGATGGCAGAGCCAGATTTCAATCCTAGGTCCTTTTGGCTTTAGAGCTTATGGCTTTTCTTCCTGTTTTCTTCTCTCCCTTATCTCTCTACTTTCTTTTGAAGTTATTATGCATTTCTTAATTAGATGAATTACATATGAATGTCTTCTTGTTTGAAAACCCTGAGACATATAAGAGGCCAAAGAATCAAACACCAGGGTCTCTCTATATCAATGTAGTCAGTCTGATGTGTATCCTTCGCTGTGTCTATTTAAGTTTATAATTATCTATTTGGAAACAGAAAAATTTCCCAGTGCCTTTTTTTTTTTAACATGTGTAATCACACTACATGTTTAACATTTTCCTCCATTCAGTATGTCTTAGAAGGCTTTCCAGGTCCATCTGTATAAAGCTGCCATATTTTCACTGTTGCATAGAACTCTATGGTATGGAAGTATAAGAGTTCAGATACGGTGTTCTAATAAATCAGTTTTCTATCATCCTTGCCAACCCTGGATGTTACCTTGTTTTAATCTCAGAAAGGCAAAATTTGAAATGATTGGTACTTTATTTTAATTTCTTAGTTCTTAGTGAAGTAAGGCCTGTTTTCATGCATTTATTCTTTGTTTCTTCTGTAAATATTCTGTTCTTACCCATCTTTCTTATTGTGATTTGTCTTATTGTTGTGTATGTATTTATAATTATGGACATAATCATGGACATTAAGCCTTTATTAGAGAGCTCTGGTGGCCTAGTGGCAAAAAGCTGCAGTGCAGTCTGAAGGCACGTGATTGAAGGGTGCCAGCTGCTCTATGGGAGAAGGATGGACAATCTCCTGTGCGATTGATTGACTGCCTCTGAAAACCTACTGAAGGGTCAGCGATGGGTCAGTGCAGACTTGACAGTTCGTAATTAACGACAAAAACAAAAAATAATCCTCCATTATTTAGTTTCAAATGTTTATTCAAAGTCCAACTAGCTTTATTTTTCCAATTATAATAATAATTCAAGATGTATGTGTATATAACAAAGGAAGAGACTGGAACAGTAACAAAAACCTTTCAGGGAAAAGTCCAGAACTATCTTGCGTCAGTGGTGAATGGTGCTGCACATCTAAAGAAGACTATTAACTCCTCTCAAGCACTTTCTCAAACTTTAGAGCAGAAGGAAATCACTCATTCTTCAAAGTCAGTACCAGTCTAATGACACTACAAGAAAAGAAAGCTGCAGACCAACATCACTTGGAAATATCGTTGCCAGAAATGCTCTGTAAAATGCTAGCAAACCGAATGGCCAAATGCACTTATTCCCAGGACAACAAAGGTAGTTCAAAACTTAAAAAAAAACAAATAAAAATCAGTTATTATAATGAACCATGTTAATAGGATGAAGTGAGAAACCAGACAGTCTCAGCTGACGTAAAAAAAGACATGTGACAAATCAAGTTTTTTTTTCATCATAAAATCATTGTTGTGGTTATTGTGTGCCATCAAATCGGAAACAACTCATAGCTTACCCAGTGGGTTTTCAGAGACAGGAAATCACACAGGAGGAGATTGCCCATCTTCCTCCTGAGGAGAAGCTGGTAGATTTGAATTGTGTGCTTTTGGGATTGCACTATAGCTTCTTACAACTAGGCCACCAGAGCTCGTAAAAACATTAGCACCAAGAGGGGAAAAAAATAGATCCAGTGGATTAAATCATAATTTAAAAGTTTTACACATCAAGAGACATTATCAAGAAAGTGAAAAGACAACCACAAAAAGGGAGAAGATATTTGAAAAGTAGATAATGTAAGAGTTAAATAAAGAACTCCTAAAACTCAACAAAAGAACTAACAGCCTAATTTTAAAATGATCAAAGGACTTGAACAGATATTTGTGTAAAAAAGATACACAAATGACAGAAAAGCCTATGAAATGATGCTTACTGTCATCAGCAATTAAGAGAGCTCTGGTGACCTAATGGTAAGAAGCTGCTCTGCAGTCTCAAAGATACATGGTTCGAATCCACCAGCTGCTCCACAGCAGAAGGATGCGCAGTCTCTTCCCATGTAATTTCCCACCTCTGAAAATCATTTGGAGTAGCTATCAGTCAGTTTTAACTCTACTTCACACAGCAACATCATTAGTAATTAGGGAAATGAACTTCAGAACCACACATACACTTTATACCCACTAAGATGACTTTGATAGAAAGAAAACAAAACATGTAAGCATGCAACAGAATGAAGACTTATCTGTTGTGGAGGAGATGTAAAATGTTAACTATTGTGGAAAACAGTTGGATGGTTCCTTAAAATTTTAAATTGAACTACCATTGTTGTGAGGTGCTGTTGTGTAATGGAGGACTCATAGTGACCTTATGACCAACCGATCTGAACTTTCCCTTATCCTGCACCAGCCTTATGATCTCTGATGTACTCGAGCCCGTGGTTATAGTCACTGTGTCAGTCCATCTTGTTAGAAGTCTTCCTCTCTTTCTCTCACCCTCCACTTTTTCCAGCATGATGTCCTTTTCCAAGGACTGGCCCCTTCTGACCATGTGCCCAAAGTATGTGAGATGAAGTTTCACAGAGTGCCTCTAAGGGGCACTATGGTTGTGCTTTTCTCAAAACATACGTGTTTGTTCTAGCCCATAGGAATGTTCTTATATGACCAAGCAATTCAGGCACACATACACTAATACTGCAGTGCTGTTCAGAATCTGTGAGCAACACCGGTGTCCATCAACATATGGATGGACAAATAAAATGTGTTACATGCATTTGATGGAGTATTTGTCAACTATAAAAAGAAACAAACATGAGCTACGTATTACCACATGGATGAACCTTGGAAAGCAGGCAAAGTTAAGTAAGCCAGAGAGCACCATCCACTGCCATCAAGCCGGTTCTGATTCATAGCAGCTCTCCATTGGGTTTCCAAGACAGTTAATTGTTACAGGAAAAGACTACCCCTCTTTCTCACTCAAAATATTTGGTAGACTCAGAGTGCTACTGTTTTGATTAGCAGAGTAACACTGTGCGACTAGAGCTCCCTAAGCCAGACCAAAGGTCAGATATGATTCCACTTTTATTCTCCATCTCAGATAGGCAAATCCATTGAGCCAAAAGACAAAATAGTGGGAGGAATGAGAAGTTTAAAAAACAAGAACTTCCCAGATGATTTCCATAAGCAACTGTATTTTAGAACTCTGCTTAAACTTGTACACTAGACTTGTCTCAGGAGCTTTTGGGAATCTTGATGCCTAGAACAAAACTATGCCAATTAAAGTCTCTGATGGTGGGACCCAGGCATTCTGGCTTTTGAGATTCACCAATTGATTCTTGTGAACAGCCAAATTTTAAGAATAGGAGTATTGAGTATATATAATATGTGCTAGGCTATACTTGTAATAGGAGCTCTGCTGGCCTAGTGGTAAGAAAAAGTGCTGAAACTCCAAGGCACACAGTTCAGATCCACCAGTTGCTCCGAAGAATGGGCAGTCTCCCCCTGTATGATTAACTGCCTCTGAAAACCAGCTATGGGTCAGTTCTGACCAACGGTACACAACAACAACAACAATATACGTACAGGATCTGGGGTTCAGTAACTACGAGGTACATTTATCTTACTCTACTTTGAAACATGTTTAAAATATGAAACAGGAGGGATTCATCTTCCGTAGTCTCCTATGGATGAGGACTAGGCCACCTTAATGGAACCTCTGGTTTCTGTCTAGTAAGCTGGGAAACAGGAGTTGTTTCTGTCCCAACTAAACTAACTTTCATTGATTTAGCAGATGATAAGTAAGGGTACATGATACAGAAACTGGGGCAATGGGGGTTGATTTGTTGGAATTTAAAGAGACTGGCTCAGGACAGGGCAGGCTTTGGAGCTGCTGTATACAGTGTCGCTATGGGTCACAGGTGACTTGACAGCACATAACAACGCAAATTAAGAGAGGTTTCCTCTGGTGCTTTCTTGATAGAGAAATACAGAGAGAAGCGACCATATTTGCCATTTTTTTAAATTAGAAAATTATGAAGATAATCTGAAAACTTGGGCACTGAGTTGAACCACTGGTAACATCCCCCCCACACACACACACACACACTGGTAACATTTTTATGTTTAATTTTTTTTTAAATTTTGATTATTTTTACGTGTACTGGCAAATCAGATCTGACTGGTACAGGAGGAGATTGCTCTCTCCTCCAGCAGAGCATCTGGTGGATTTGAACCGCATACCTCTGGGATTGCAGTGCAGCGTCTTGCCACTAGGCCACCAGAGCTCCCTGGTAACATTTTGATAACCACCTTTCTGTTTATGTATCTATTTCTATTATCACTAAGTATGTTAACCAAGTATAGTAAATACTGCCTACAGAATAGAATGCATCTTTTTTTTTTATGGTGAGAAAAATTTATATTTAGAATTAGCCCGCTGGACTCAGTTTAGATGATCCCAATTTTGTTGGCAACATCCAAAGCATCATAATCAGGAGCAATTCGAACATAGGCCTTCTTCTCTCCATCAGGCCTCATCAAGGTGTTGACCTTAGCCACATCAATGTCATTGAGCTTCTTTACAACTTGTTTAATTTGGTGCTTGTTGGCCTTGACATCCACAGTGAACACAAGTGTGTTGTTATCTTCTATCTTCTTCATGGCTGACTCAGTGGTCAGGGGAAATTTGATGATGGCATAGTGGTCAAGCTTGTTTCTCCTGGGGGTGCTCTTCTGGGGGTATTTGGGCTGCCTTTGGAGTCTCAGCATCTTAGGCCACTGGAAGGTGGGTGACGTGTGGATCGTTTTTTTTTCTGTGGATGCTTTTCAGGACTGCCTTCTTGGCCTTTAATGCCTTTGCTTTGGCTTCAGTTTTGGGGAGGGGCAGGGGCTTCCTTCTTCACTTTTGGTTCCATCTTCGAGAAAAGAGAATGCATCTTTTAAACATAGGTGATATGTATTTTAGTTCTTTTAAAACTTATGTTCTTAGAGGGAAGACATCTAAGAAAGACAGACAAAAACAACAAAATTCCCTCAATGCCTTTATTTTTCTTCTTTCCTATAATTTCTTCTTTTGGGTTCTTTCCCTCCAAATTTTCTAGGTCACTTCTTCGGTATCATCTCTGTTACTGTGGAGAAAGATGTGAATACTTGCTTTTCCCTCATGTGCCTGTCACTGTAACATAGGGCCTCTGGAACACGTCCTGGTTCCCCTCAGATGATCATTTCTGTTGCTGCCTCTCTGTAGTGCATGTTGTCTTCTTTTTGATTGAACCTTTCATTAAATTGAAGTTCTAGGTTTTTTACATTGCTATATTTTTCAGTTTTTTTAGAGCTTCTAAGTTTTCCATCTCATTTAAGAGAGCCTAGTCTTTCCCAGAATTATAAAAATATTTCCTAAAACATGTAGATTTTGTGTTTTTAATCCATTTTAAGAAGATGAATTAAGTTCACAGTTGACTTGACGTAAAGCTCCAACTTTTTCCCCCAAAAATGATAGCCAGCTGTCTCAAGCATTTTAAAATACAAAAAAAGAACTGTTTTAGATGAAAAAGTACAGAAAGGACAGAGTTTCTCTTTCCCACCTTCCCTTGGACACTGTTTCTTTTAATCACAGTATGCATCCCTGTCAACATTTGTGACCAGTTCTTCCTTTCCTCATTGATGAGGTGTCACTAATACATTTCTTATCTCCTGATCTGGTTTCCCCTGTATTATTTCCAGAGTTCTAATTATTAGAAGTTTGTGTTCTGATTGCTCATAGGCAAGCCTATCATTCATTATTCTTTTCTAAAAATTTTCTTGACTGTTCTTACATGTTTCCTCTTCCTGTACCTTAGTCTGCCTGCCATATTTTCTTTTGGTTGGAATGAAATGAATAGATTTTTTTGGAAAGAGGAGCCAGAGTTCTTACCCTGTTTGCTACACTGCCTTCTTTGTAAGGTGAGGCACCAGAGGCAGGCAGGCTGCAGAGGAGAGCAGATTAGGAGTGACTAAGGCAAGAGAGTGGGTTGGAGGGATAGGGAGTGGGGTGATGGACTGGATCTTGGTGGATGGTGCCGTGTAAAGAGTTAGGTGGGATCCTTTCTGTGAAGAAGTTAGACATGGCTTCTTGGCATGAGGAATCTCAACATCTGTTCCTTCTCTCAGAGAGAAGCTGGTAAAGACTCTGGTGGAGCTACTGACCAACCAGGTGGGAGAGAAGAGAGTGGTGGTGCTGGCCCTACGTCTCCTTTACTTGCTCATGACCAAACATGAGTGGCGGCTGTTCTTTGCCAGAGAGGGAGGCATCTATGGTGTGCTGGTTTGCATGCAAGAATATAAGACCTCCATCTTGGTACAGCAAGCAGGACTGGCAGTAAGTAGTCTCGGGCTGGTGGGGGAGGTAGTTGAGATGGGGGACTGCTGATGTTAAGGAGCTGTTGTGGTTTAGGCCAGGGTGTACATGTAGTGATGGAAAGACATAGATAAATTTAAGTCTTAGAAATTAAACACTCGTTTAGAGGAAGAATAAAGGGTGTCCTTAAGAATGGCTTCCAGGTTTAAAATTGAGCATTAGAGTGGATAAAGTTGCCTTTTATTTATTTATTTCTTTTTCTTTTTTTTTAAATTATTATTAAATTTTATTAGTTTCAATGAACATTCACAGGGATTCTGGGCTTTCACTCCTTCATTGCCGCACCATTCTCTCCACCCTCCTCCCCAGTTTGTTCTTCTTCCCTGCCATCCGAATGTCTGTTTTAATTGTCCAATTGCCACAGTGCTTGTCAAAGTCAGTTCTGATTAATCTCCTTTGTCGGCGTGTCCTTTGCCATTCCCTATCACTCCTCCCTGAGAGAGACTTCACCCTGAGTCATAAGGAAAAGGGGATGGCGTATTCTCTTAGCTACTTCCTGCTGAAAAGAGACGCTGTGGGTTTCAGGGTGAAGATCTTCTCTCACTACTCTAAAGGGCCCCTTTGGCAGTAGGAAACACATAGACTATTATGGAGATTGATTTTGGAATTTAGATGCACTCTTATTGATTGTGTTTGGCCGTACATGTTCATATCCTTGAAGATGTATCATGGGGGTGTTGCAACCTAGAAGACACAAATTTGACTAATAAGTTATAAGTACATGAGTCAAAAATTATGGAAAAGTAAAAGAAAAGATTCTTTCATTGTTTTACAAACCCTCCCCCAGGTCCCCTCCACCATGTAGCCCTTGCTCTAGTCTCCTGTGATGACAGAAATACCTAGTTATATATCTCTTTTAAACAGTTTTCTCCCTTCTCTGTTTCAGTGCAGTATACATTATTGAACCCATCTTACTCAGTCTCTCCCCAACCCCAAGGACAGTCCCATTCTACAACAGTGGCATCATGTAATATTTGTCCTTTTGTGACTGGGATATTTCACTCAGCATAATGTTCTCCAGAGTCAACCATTTTGAATAATATTGCATGGGTTCCTTGTTTTTTAATGCAGCATAGTATTCCATTGTGCGAATATACCACAGCTTCTGTAGCCATTCATTTGTTGATGGGCACTTAGGTTGTTTCCAACTCCTTGCTATTGTGAACAAAGCTGCAATAAACATGGGTGTGCATATATCTGCTTGGATGTCAGCTATGGTCTCTTCAGGGTATATTCCCAGTAGTGGAATTGCTGGGTCAAATGGTATCTCTATTTGCAACTTTTTGAGAAAGCGCCATACTGCTTTCCACAGGGGTTGCACCATTTTACACTCCCACCAACAGTGAATCAGGGTTCCAGTTTCTCCACAACCTCGCCAGCATTTGTTGCTTGCTGTTCTGTTAAATTTTGCTATTTTGACTGGGGTGAGATGATATCTCATAGTTGTTTTAATTTGCATCTCTCTTAGGGCTAGGGATTTTGAGCATTTCTTCATGTGCTTGTTAGCCATCTGAATGTCGTCTTCGGTGAAGTGCCTGTTCATATCCTGTGCCCATTTTTCTATTGGATTATTTGCCTTTATCTTGTTGTGGTGCTCAAGTATTTCATAAATTCTGAATATAAGTCCCTTATCTGATATGTTATTACCGAATACTTTTTCCCAGTCAGTGGCTTCCCTTTTTACCCTACTGGAGAAGTTTTTGGATGTGCATAGGGATTTGAGTCTTAGAAGATCCCATTCATCTATGTTATCTTCTCCTGGTTGTAGGTCTTGTTTTGTTTTTTTAAAGTTGACCTTTTATTAAATAGGAGAATGTTAGGGGTGGGAGGGAGTTACGGCAAAGAAGGAGTTGAATTTTTAGGTGTAGTTAAATTTCTAATGCTTGATTTGTCTAGTTAAAGACTAATTTTCTAGATATCCTTAAAAAGTAGGGTTTTCCTCCTATTTATCAGAGCGGAACCCCATTCCTCACTATATTTGGGTAAAACAAAGACATCATTGCCATCTTTCTACAATCTTGGGTGCAGAGAATCAGAAAGATAGGCTCTCATGCATGGGAACCTACAAAAAATTGACATTCTAGCTACTCCAGACAAGTGTTGACTGTAGGCAGGTGTGATGGAGGCAGAACATGTCTGTGTAGAGTGATGGTCCCTGAGGGAGACACGTAGGCCTTGTCCAGAGCAATTGTGAGAATGGATTCCAGCAGTGTAGCAATCAGTCATGAAGCAAGGGGACGTGTGCTCTCTTAGAGCAAGATGTCCAGAGAAAAGATGAAGTCTCTTCTTTCCAAGAGCAACTCGGCATTCACAGTCTACGCTGCATATTCCTGTAGATATCCTAGTTCTCTCAAATTGCATACATAAAAATATTAACATTTGGCCCCTAAATTCAAGCTCTAGCCCCATAATAAAATTACATCTTCTTTATACCTTTAAAAAAAATAAATGCTCATTAAAATTATAAAAAAATAAGCTTAAAAAAAAAAAAAGAAAAAACTCGAGAACAGTGAAAGACCTAAAGAAATGGAAAAATGTTTCTTGTCCATGGATTAGAAGACTTAAATAGTGAAAATGACAGTCCTACCAGGAGTAACCTACATGTTTCCTAACAAAAGCAATCTGCATGTTTAACACAATCCCAATACAGATACAAAATTTATTTTTTAAGGAGATTGAAAAGACACTATCAGTTCATTTGGAGAGGAAAGAAACCCCCAATGAAAAGATTTCAGTGACTGATTTTTGAGAAGTAGATCACCAGATAAAGCTTTCTGGGTGCCTCTCTGTGGCTTCCAGTGGCCATTTTTATGAAACTCTCTTTACATTCATAACTTAAGGACTATAGAATTAACCTAACTGGGGAGAGTTAGGTAACCAGAGGGAGAGAATCTCATTACAAAGTTGCATATTCTGGAAGGTTCCAGACCTCTCAAGGGAGATTCTCTGGAGAATTCTTTCTAATCAGCTCCATCCCTAGAGAGGTTCTTCTTTGAAGTCAGACCTTTCACCAAGAAAGTTATTTTCTCCTTCAGAGGCATATTATTATTTTTCATTTTACCCCCTATATTTTCACCAAATACTTTGACAAATATTTTTGCTATAGTTCCAGCCATTTTGCTTATGAAATAACCAGGTAACTTTATTGAATAGGGATGGGTACTGGCTTTGGTGCTTAGAGCGTGTGAGTTTGGGAATGTAGGCACATAGGTGGCAGTTGGAGCTATAGGAGTGGAGAAAGTTACCTAGTGAGGGAGTGGAGAATGAGAGAAGGGGACCGAGGAGCTTAAATGTTTAAGGACAAAGGAGCAACTAGAGAGGTGTGTTAAAACAGGGAATCATGGCATTTGAGAGGTTTGGCAAAGGAAAAGAGTGGTGCATGAAGGAGGCTGATAACTTCCAGGAAAGCTTTTGAGGACAATGCGATGCTCTGAGAGGATGATATGGTACTGTGATGTTAGGGATATAGGGCCAAAAGAGATTACAGGTGCATTTTACCATCAAGCCTGCCTTGTCTTCAGGTTTCTTCCTGACCTGTTTCTTTCTTTTCTTTCTTTTTTTTTTTTTTAATTAATTTTAATGAAAGGTTACAGAGACTTAGGGTTTCCATTCATTCATTGTTGCACTTTTCTCCCTGCCCACCCCTCCCCCGACCTGTTTCTTTTAACATTTGATGTCCCATCACTACCTCCTACCTTTTTTATTTTACCTGTTTGTAAATGGCTCAACTACCCCAAAGGTTGGTGTCTAGATCGATGATGTATTCCTCCCCGTGGTGGCTCTGGTAGCTCCTCACACTGTTCCTGCATCTCTCCTGCAGGCACTGAAGATGCTGGCTGTTGCTGGTACCTCTGAGAGCCCCTATAGCGTTTCTACCCGGGATCCTTTCCACCCTTCTTTTGATGCCCAGATGATCAGAGAGATCTTCGCCAGCATCGACTCAGCCACACGCCCAGGCTCGGAGAGCCTGCTCCTTACCATCCCAGCTGCTGTGATCCTGATGCTGAACACTGAGGGGTCAGGGATTTACCCTCCCGTCCCATGCTAAGCTCAGATCCACCTCCTTCCATGCCCCTTGTGCTCCACAGATTCCTCTCACGTTGTTGGTGGCATCTCTAACTTGATGGAAGAGAAGCCAAGTGGCTGGAATAATGGGGAATCCCAGAGGGAATAGAGTGACCCTCATCTTCCTTCATGGGCCCGAGTAGAATGACCCTTGAGTCAGAGACCAAATGTCCCAGCTTCAGAAGGACTGAAGTCCTTTCCCCAGCTGTAGGACTCCTCTCCTTTGTCCCCTGCCCCACCTTCACATTCACTCTCTTTTAATTTCTTTTGGCTCTCTTCCCTCCTTCCAGGTGTTCCTCTGCAGTGAGAAATGGCCTGCTCCTGCTCAACCTGCTTCTGTGCAACCACCACACTCTGGGAGACCAGATTATAACGCAAGAACTGCGGGACACCTTGTTTCGGCACTCGGGGATCGCACCAGAGGCAGAGCCCTTGCCCACCACACGCACTGTCCTCATGATGCTCCTCAGTCGCTACTCCGAGCCTCCCAACAGTCCCGAGCACACAGGTACCAGGCTGAAAGGGTGCTTCTACTGGAAGAAGTGGGCAGTGTGGGCCTGGAGCCAGGAAGGCTAAGGCTGACCTGTCAGAAAGACACTTAGGAAGGGAGTGAGGGCTGCAGTGCTGAGTTAAGGGAGTAAGAATCTCCTGGCCAAGAGGAGGGGACTTCTACAGCAGGTGCGCTGAGATTGCTTTTTCTGAATGGATTTTAAACCTTAGGAAGATTCCACTCTGCAGGGCTAGGTTAGGTACATTCTTACTGGAAACATGATTGATTGGCTGATATGGCTTCTAGGGAAGCCTTCTTTTAAAGAATTATAACTTACGATACAGAAAATATAACCAAAACCATGAAATTATGATAATATGGGGAAGAAGCATGTCATTTTATGCTTGGAAAATGAATGAAAATCCAAAAGTGTGAAGGGAAATGGAAATAAGCACTATGTATCCTTTAGGAGATAGCCGCCCCCGTCCCCAGTGCAGCCTTACCAGTTAGTGTAACAAACTGCCATTGAGATGATTCGCACGAATAATGACCCTCCATCAGTTTCCAAGGCTGTCAGTCTGTGAGGGGAGATGCCATCTTTCTCCCTCAAAGGAATTAATAAATTTGAATTATCAACCTTTCAGTTAGCAGCCTAATATATCATGTACTACTTCAACAGGGCTTCTTGTGTAGAGATAGAATATTTGTTTGTTTATGGAACAGCCAACTTTTCAAAAAATATATTGATTTTCTTACAAAGTTTGCATACATTGTGTTTCACACCATAACCGACTTTTAAAAACAAAAGAAAAGGTCATTTATATGACTATGTACATTCCAGTGGCTCAGCTGGTAAGGAGTTGTGCTTTCAATCCAAAGTCTGGTGGTTTGAATCCACCATTGCTCGGTCTACAAAAGAAGGATGAGCAGTCTCCTCCTGTGCGATTTGCTGCTTCTGAAAACATGAAACATGCTGGAGGATCAGCCATGTGTCAGGTCCAAAATGATGGAACATAACAGCAACAAAAAGAATGATATGAATGTATAAGATTTAAAAAATATATTGTGTTTACCTTAGTAATATTTGCTACACTAGATTTTTCTAAAAATGTTGCTGATCAGGTATATATTTGGGACCAGAAAAGAAAGTCCCTCATAGATGCCTAGAAAACATCAATACTCTTAAAATGAGAGGAAGGTTTGGGGGTGATTTTCTACCTTTGATCACCTGTGTGACCTACTTGTGTGATACACCTTTTTTCCCCTCCTGTGTGTCTGGGCTGCAGCACTGGAAATCTCTGGCTCCCAGAGCCAGGATGGGTCCCCTGAGCTGCTGATCCGAGCCACAGTGGGGGGCCCATCTGCAGAACTACTCCTGGACTTGGAGCGGGTGCTGTGCCGTGAGGGTGGCCCGGCCGGTGCTGTGAGGCCTCTCCTCAAGCGCCTTCAGCAGGAGGCCCAGCCTTTCCTCCTGTTGCTGCGGACTCTGGATGCTCCAGGGCCCAGCAAGACTCTCCTGCTGACCATACTGAGGTAAAGAGTCTGGATAGGCACCCGGTATATCCTACGTGTAGAGAACTACAGGCTAAGCGACTCACTGTCCCCACCCCTCACCAGGGTCATGACTCGGCTTCTGGATTTCCCTGAAGCAATGGTGCTCCCCTGGCATGAGGTCTTGGAGCCTTGCCTCAACTGCCTGAGTAGCCCCAACAGTGACTCTGAGGTACCACAGCCTGAAAAGTGGGTGGAGGAAAGGCAGCCTGTAGGGCACGGTATATCAGATGAAGAACTAAAGAGAGTCCAGAGGGGCTTTCTGGATGGGCCTGGGGGCACTGACTGGGTGGCTGCTAAAAGCGAGGATAATGTTATCTCTAAATTTCTGGAACTAGGGTCTTCAAAGCATAAGCCTTTCAGCTGCACCTGAATTTTAGCTTCCATATTTCAGAGAAGCCCACATTCACCAGTCCAAGAAATCAGTGTTCTCCACCCTTTAGAGTTTTGTGCATTATGGAGTGAGGTGCAGGCACCAAGGTTGGCTCTTGAGATGATTTCTTCCTGGTAGGGAGAAACCTGACTCTCTACCTACACTGTAGTCTTACCAGCCCAGGCTAGAGTCCTAGCTCCCCAGTGTTCTGTTCCAGTGTTTTGGGGCTCTCCTTTCACTGGGCTTTCAGATTTTTCCAGCTCTTTCTTTCTTGCACCAAACCATCAACCCTTGCATCCCCTGTGATTTGTTTTCCATGGATTAATCCATGTAACTCTGGGCTCAGATTGTTCAGGAGCTTATCTGTTTCCTGCATCGACTGGCCTCCAGTCACAAGGACTATGCAGTGGTCCTCTGCTGCCTGGGAGCCAAGGAGGCCCTTTCCAAAGTCTTGGACAAGCACTCGGCTCAGCTGCTGCTGGGGTGTGAGCTTCGTGACCTGGTGACAGAGTGTGAAAAGCATGCCCAGCTCTATAGTAACCTCACCTCCAGCATCCTGGCTGGCTGCATTCAGGTGAGGAGGGGCTTATAGTAAGGAGCTGATGGAGATGAGTCAGAAGCAGGGGAAGGGGACTTGGTGTGTGTTCCTGTTTGAGTTGAGACCCAGGTGGGAGTAAATCTGGGGCATTTGTTCTCAGTGCTTCCCCAGCATTGTCCTGTTCTACCAGTCCGAGGGCAAAGGAATCGAGCATTTTGTTGCCCTTGACTTTTTCTTCACACATGGTTCTGGATACTTCTCCATGTCCCTTTCCCCTCCCCATAGTCCTTTTCTCTGATGTTCCTGCTGCAGATGGTGCTGGGCCAGATTGAAGAGCACAGACGTACCCACCAACCCATCAACATCCCCTTTTTTGATTTGTTCCTGAAACATCTCTGCCAGGGTTCGTGCCCTGTCTGTTTTCTCCTGGTCCCACCTCAGCATCTATTCTTCCCCTCCCTTCCTGCTCCATGGGCCCCTCTTCAGCTTGGTGACCCAGTGCACTCTGTGTTGGGCTGCTAACTGAAAGCCCAGCAGTTTGAATTCACCAGCAATCCTGTGGGAAAAAAGATGGGTAGTTCCTTCCCATAAAGATTTATCACCTCAGGGCACCTCATGGAGGGTCCCCATGAGTCATTTGAGGTGACAGCTTTGGGTTTGGTTTTTTGGTTTGATCAACTAGCCAGGCAGCGACCTTCCTCCTGCCTGCTTGTCCCCAGGCTCCAGTGTGGAAGTGAAGGAGGACAAATGCTGGCAGAAGATCGAGGTGTCTTCCAACCCTCATCGGGCCAGCCGGCTGACAGACCACAATCCCAAGACCTACTGGGAGTCCAATGGCAGCGCAGGGTCCCACGCCATCACCCTGCACATGCACCGTGGTGTTCTTGTCAGGTCAGAACATGCTCGTGCACACACACGTGTATTCAGACATACTTCAGTGTGTGCCCCCAGACACCCATGACCCACTCTCACACTCATTTTGTATAGTGAGCAGATAAACACAGTGACTTGCCTTTTCTTTGCTGTATGTAGACATCCCCTCACTTCTAGAGCCTGGTTTCATGACTGCCTCCTGGAACCAGGTACAAATGTCTGTCATCACGCTGAGGTAGATCAGCAACTTGCCTGTGTTTCCCCCAGAAATTTGTTGAGTGTACATACTAGGCACTGTGCCAGGGAATGGAGATGTAAAGATAGTAAGATCTGATACTTGCCTTTAGGAAACTTACAGTTTATTGGGGAGACAGACTAGAAAATTAGGCAGCACACTGAGTAAGGAAAAGGTATATGGTTGCCATATACATCATGCATACGTCAGTGAGCCCTGAGGGCAGAACACTGAGAGATCTGAGAAGGCTTCTCAGGAAAGGTGTTAACTGAGCTGGGTTTTGAAGGAAAGATTCATTAGATAAAGAGGGGCCAGTGACTATTACAGAAAAGGGACAACCTTGCTGCAAAAATGAAGAACTAGGATGATGTGTTTTGGCGAGCCGTCAGCGGTTGAGTTTACATAGCAGGAAGGGTGCAACAGGAGATCAGACTATAAATGTAAGCAGAAGCTAGATCACAAAGAACTTTCTTCTGTGGGGAGCCACTGAGGATTTTAAGAAGCAAAGAGACAAGAGTAGAGGTTTTATTTAGAAAGTTCACTCTGGCCATCCTAGAGTTTGGGCTGGAGGCCAGGAGAGAGAGAATTGGAGAGTTTGTGCAGCAGTCATGTTGAGGAAAGATTAATATCTTCAGTTAGGCAGAAGGAATAGCAATAGACAGGAGGTGATGGATGGGGAAGTACTAAGAGGGTGTGTCTAAGAGACTTGTCAGTGTCTAGATGTGGGGGACTCTGAAAGGTGAAGTTCTCATGTCAGAGTGTCCTACTTTGTGCAACAGCAGTTTTATTACCCAGGAGAGAAAAATTGGGTGGGGAGCAAGTTTATGTGTAGAACATGATCCCTCCGTATTGGGCCTGGTGACCTCTGGGATGTGATGTGGAAAATGCCTGTTGGATACACAGCAGTAAAGCTCAGGAGAGAGGTCCTGGGAGAGGTATAGATTAGGAATCACTGAAGCTGTGGTTTTATTTAAATGAAGTCACCCTGATAAGAAATAGCCTGGGGAAGGCTGGCGTTTCTGTCAGAGGGAGCAGGGGCTTGAGAAGGAGGGGGTGGTGGGTTGAAGTAATTTCTAATTAAGACCAAGGCTTCAGTTTTCACTGATTGCTCTTCTCTCCCAGGCAGCTGACTCTGCTTGTGGCCAGTGAGGACTCAAGTTACATGCCCGCCAGGGTGGTGGTGCTTGGAGGTGACAATGCCAGCTCCATCAGCACTGAGCTAAACACGGTGAGGCCTCCTTCCCCTTCCCCTGCATCCCTGTGTTCATCCCAAGGCCTTGTGGGAAGGACCTGGTCCCACGTCCTTCCACATAAGAAGGCATTGCTTTGTGAGCAGCAATAGTGGAACTGGATGTGGAGCTCATTGATCCATGAGCTGGTGCAGGGGACGTGAAGGATACACAGCTAACATTTTTCTCAAGCTCTCGACTGCTGGAGGTAAGAGCTCTTCTTATCTCTTATCCTCCACCCGGTCAGGTGAATGTGTTGCCCTCTGCCAGCCGGGTGATCCTCCTGGAGAACCTGAACCGCTTCTGGCCCATCATCCAGATCCGCATAAAGCGCTGTCAGCAGGTACGGTGAGAAAAGAGATTAGAGACAGGAGGTCAGGAGGAGGTAGTGCAGAGTCTCTGCAGTGACTAGCCTCTCTGGCATTTTGGAGGCCAGGGTTCGAAACAAGGTTTCTCCTTGGTCTTCCTGGGAGATGGTCCAGGGATCTATTGAGGCCTAAATGTACAGGGAACTTGGGGTGGGAGGCCTCAGTTTGTTCTTCCCACAGAGCCTGACTTGGATAGTGTTTGGTGGCAAAGGGGGATTAGGTGACAGATAAGTCTGTGTACCTTGCAGGGTGGCATCGATACCCGGGTTCGGGGTGTGGAGATCCTGGGCCCCAAGCCCACATTCTGGCCATTGTTCCGGGAGCAGCTGTGTCGCCGCACATCTCTCTTCTACACAATCTGGGCACAAGCCTGGAGCCGGGACATTGCAGAGGACCGCCGGCGCCTGCTGCAGCTCTGTCCCAGGTGGGGTGATGGTGTGGGTCACTGCTTCGAAGTATGTGGTGGGAGATAGGCAGTTGGGAGGGGAAAGGAACAGGGACTAGGAGTTAACACTGATTGTATGGGAGAGTTGAGTAAAGACAGAGATGGAGGATTGATCTGAACTGCACTGAGCAGAGGACTCAAAGAAATAGCTGCCTGGGATCCTTAACCAACCATGCACCTCTTGTGCCCAGACTCAACAAGGTTTTACGCCATGAACAGAATTTTGCTGATCGTTTCCTCCCTGATGAGGAGGCCGCCCAGGCACTGGGCAAGACCTGCTGGGAGGCCCTGGTCAGTCCCCTGGTGCAGAACATCACCTCCCCAGGTAACCATGGCACAACCTGGCCCCCCACTAACCAGCTCCTTGTATTTGTTCCCAGAGTTTACCTGAGTTAATGCTCTTGGTTCTCTTGGTTCCTGTCTTTGTCCCTATAGGCCTGTCACCTCAGTGTTCCTCCCCAGGGACTGCTCCCTAAGGCTCTGGTATTTGAATCTCCACCTCCACCCCCAACTCGTTACCATATCCCCTGACTCCAGCTGAACCAAACCTTGGTGAGGGGAGGACTAACACACTGCTGGCCCCCAAATCTTTCTGTACAATTACTTCTCTCTCCTCTTCTCCTTGGGCTGCCCTTTCGTCCATTTCCCATGGAGACCTTTCCTGGCCTGTCTCTCAGATGCAGAAGGCGTGAGCTCCCTGGGATGGCTGCTGGATCAGTACTTAGAACAAAGGGAAAACTCTCTGGCCCCACTGAGCCGAGCAGCATCTTTTGCTTCTCGAGTTCGCCGCCTCTGCCACTTGCTGGTACACGTGGAACCACCTCCTGGACCTTCTCCTGAGCCATCCCCTCGGCCCTGTAAGTCCCAGTTACATTAGGAGTCTGGGAAGTGACTCCTTTCTGCTCCCCAGTTATTACTCATTGTCACTGCTTTGCTGTGGACCGTTCCAGGCCCCTGTGACCTCCTGGCCTTTCCAGGGCTTCAGCACTTAAGAGCTGTGGATTCACCCAAGACTTAGGCCATACCCCATTTCTTGCCCTCTTCTCCACAGTCAGCAAGAACAGCAAGGGTCGGGATCGGAGCCCTGGGCCTTCCCCTGTCCTTCTGAGCAGCAGCCTGAGAAACATCACCCAGTGCTGGCTGAGCGTGGTGCAGGAGCAGGTGAGCAGGAGCTCGCTCGTCTGAGAGGCAGGAAGGGCTACTTCACTGGTGGCCTACAGGGCCTGCTGTTTGGATGGTACTTCTTTTGTCCGTAGGTCAGCAGGTTCATGGCTGCAGCTTGGAGAGCCCCAGACTTTGTGCCTCGCTACTGTGAACTCTACGAGCACTTGCGGAGAGCAGGCTCAGAGCTGTTCGGGCCGCGGGCCGCCTTCACACTGGCTCTCCGCAGTGGCTTTTCTGGTGCTTTGCTGCAGCAGTCCTTCCTCACCGCTGCTCACGTGAGTCCAGCCCCCAGGGAGCACTGTTGTCAGCTCTCGCTTCATGTCCAGCTTTCTTCCACACTGCCCTTTCACTCCCAGCTCATCTCTGCTTCCTTGTTCATCATCTTCCTGCTTCCTTTTCCTTTTCCCCCAGATAAGTGAGCAGTTTGCCAGGCACATTGACCAGCAGATCCAGGGCAGCCTGATTGCTGGAGCTCCTGGGATGGAGATGCTGGGGCGCCTTCAGCGACAGCTGGAGCCCATCATGGTCCTTTCTGGCCTGGAGCTGGCCACCACTTTTGAGCACTTCTATCAGTGAGTGCAGGTCTGGAAAGGGAGGGCTTAAAGGGACCCAGAATCTAGGAAGGTGAAGAGGTGGCTGCTAGATGTGATATGAGAGAGGAGAGATGACTGTGACATTGGCAGAAAGGGAATGGGAAGGAAGAGTGGGGCATGTGACTCAGGCAGGTGGGAGTAGAGGGATTGAGATTCTAGAGGAAGAGGCTGGGCCCTGGGCCTTGCTGGGCACCCACTCTGAGGCGTGGCCTGGCCTGTGTGTGCTGCAGGCACTACATGGCGGACCGACTCCTGGGCCTGGGCCCGAGCTGGCTGGAGGGGGCCGTGCTGGAGCAGATTGGTCCCTGTTTCCCCAACCGCCTCCCCCAGCAGATGCTGCAGAGCCTGAGCACGGCAGAGGAGCTGCAGCACCAGTTCCACCTCTTCCAACTCCAGCAGCTCGACAAACTGCTTTTGGAACAAGGTGATGAGGAGGAATTGAGGCTAGAAGAAGAGGTAAGAGCAAGGGGAAAGAGTGGGAGGAAAGGGGAAAGCTGGGCCAAGGGAACCCAAGAACCCTTGAATTCCTCTATTCCTCAGGAGGGAGAAAAGGAAGAAGAGACTGAGAAAGAGCTATGTGCTGAAGATCCTAGTCCAACAGTCAGTATTCTGGTCCTGTCCCCACGCTGCTGGCCGGTCTCTCCACTCTGCTACCTGTACCATCCCAGAAAGTGCCTTCCCACGGAGTTCTGTGATGGCCTTGACCACTTCTCCAACTTCTACAGCCAGAGTGAGGACCTAGGGAAGGGAAACTGGAGATGGCGGTGAGATCTGGGGTGGCAGGAAGGAAGAGGAGAGGACCTTTGGCCTGTGGATCTGAAGAAAAGAGTGTGTAGGGGCACATTCTCTGAAGGGTGCAGAAAGTGGGGGTTATGTCCTCCTTAATTTCTGCTCATATAATTTGTTCCAACTTGCTATGAGATTGTTTTTATCTTCTTCTAACTTGTGGTTGCTTGCTCACTTGTTTTAGTCTTTTCAGATTATCTTTTCAAGTATTAAGTCCATTTCCCTTTCTATACTGCTTTAGCTGCATCATAGAAAGTTGTTTTTTAAAGCCTTTTTATTAAGGTGTTCAGTGTTCACTAAAATACACAAATAGTAACGATAAGGCATAATGAATTATTATATCCATATACAGCAGTGTAACCACCAGTCAGATCAAGATGCAGAACTTTCCTAGCACCTCAGAACACTTCTTCCTCATAGTGCCTCTCAGCCAGAGTCATGTTCTAGAAGAAACTATTGGTTTTCTCTTGCCCAGCATAATGTTTACCTGTATTTGAACATGATCTGAATGGGATCATAGAGTATGTATTCGTGTGTCTGATTTCTTTCTCTTTGTTAATGCCTTTGTGAATTCCTGAGTTGTCAGTTATATATCATTAGTGTGTTCTTTTGTGTTGCTCATGTATTGAGTGAACATTATATACCTGTTCTGTTGATGGACATTTAAGATGTTGCATGGATTTTATTATGTGATATTTCGTTATTATTATTTATTTCAGAGCATTCTCTAATTTCTGCCATTGTTGCCTTGATTTATTATTTTTATAAGTCTGTTTTTAAATTTCTGAACAGATTTTTTTTTAGTTATCTTTTTGTTTTAGATTTTTACTTTCATTCCATTGGAGCCAAAGAACATGTGTGTAAGATTCGGAATCTTGGACACTTAAAACTCCCTTTAGGGAAAAAACCCAAAACAAACTCCCTGTAGGGTCTAAGAGATAGTCATTTTCAAAGTGGTGGATTTGTGATTAAGAAGAAAGTGTATCTGTTTGCTGTTTGGATGCAAGACACCTAGAGCCCATTAAATTGACCCCATAAATTACTTTGTTCATATTTTCTCTAAATGTGGTCTTATTTTTTTTTTTTTTCTAATTGAGCAACAGTGTCTCTCTGGAGACTAAGGTCCGCTTGATACAGGCCATGGTTTTTGCAATCACTTGTTATGCATCAGAGAGTTGGACAATGACTAGGGAGGATAGAAGAATTGACACCTTTGAGCTGAGGTGCTGGAGAAGAGTATTGAATGTACCATGGACTGCCAAGAAAACAGATTCATCGCAGAGAGGATTAAACCAGGCTGTTCCTTGGAGGCAAGGATTCTGGGGCTTCGTCTGACATACTTTGGACATGTTGTAAGGAGAGACAGGTCTTTAGAGAGGGACATCATGCTGGGTAGAGTGGAGGAACAGCGTAGGAGGGGAAGACCCTCTATGAGGTGGATTGATTCAGTGACTGGGGTAATCAGGATGGGTTTGTCAGAGGCAATGAGATTGGCACAGGATAGAGCAGGGTTTAGGGCTGTTGTACATAGGGTCGCTATGAGTCGCAAACGACTCAACCGCACATAACAACAACAACAACAACAATTGATCTCTAACTGAAAGCATGCTAAAACCTGCCATTGTAGTAAGTGAATTTTTTTAGTTATAATTATGTTAATTTTGCTTTGTGTACTTCTGGGCTGTTATTTAGGTAAAAGTTTAGGATTGTCCAATAGTCCTGTACAGTAGACTTCCTGCAGTATCTGAAGAACTCTCGTTTGCGTCGTTCAGTATGGTAGCTGTTAGTAGCTACTGTGCATTTGAAATGTGCCAGTGTGATTGAGGGACCGAATATTTCATTTTACCTTGTTGACATAGCCATATGTGACTAGAATATTTAGCGCTATTTCTTTCTCAGTATTGATTTAACTGCATCTTAAGTTTTTCTTAAACTTTTAAGCAAATTAAAGTAATATAATAGATTGTACAGATTTAGAACCCTCATGGTAAATGAAATACTGCTGTTATGAAGAAACCTTCTTTCCAGTAAAGCTTTTTCCTAAAAGTCTGTTTTTGTCCAGTGTTAATACATTATCAGCTTCTCCCCGCCACACACACATACCTTCTCCACTTAGTATCTTTCTGGTTTTTCTTTTCCTATCCTTTTGCTTTGAAAATGTTTTATTTGGAAATAATTTCAAATTTACATAAATAATAATATTTTTTAATTTAGAAGAGTTCCTGAGCTTTTCTTTGTATTTTATGTACATAGGGTTCACTGTGAATTGCAGATAACTCAATGGCATGTTACAAAAACAACCATCAATTTGCAAGTTGCATAGTATATTTTTGGCCTGTAGTTCTGAGCTCTGACTTGTTAGTATCATTACCCACCCTCCTGAGCATTAAAAGGACCTTGGAAAATCTTAGCTCTAGCACCAGCTCCCATCTTACTTGTAACTGTTGCTTGCCATTTTGTAATAATTTGTTCTTTACCTTTCTGAGGCCTTATTACCATTGTCTCATTTAGTAGTTATTGTCTTATTTCATAGATGTTCAGATATGCTGTCATACCAGTTGCTTTAGTCATCATTCCTTTTGTATCTTGATATTTCTTTTTTCTCTTTCAAAAGCACACTTTTTAGAAATTTCTTTCTAGAAGAGAAAGTGAGGACAAACCTTGTCAGCTTCTGTTTTCTGAGAATGACTTACTCTACTCACATTAAAAAAAAAGTATTACGATAAATTTCAAACATAGAAAATTAGAATATATAGCAAATGCCATAGATCAACTCCTGACCAGTTGGTTCTATCTCTATTCCTGCCTGCTTTGTCTCACTCCCAAATACGAAAAATAAAGACCCTCTCTTTAAAAAGCAAGGAAAATTACAATTATCAAGCCTATCAAACTAATAATTCTTAATAATCTTCAAATAGTACTAATATATCTCTGATTGCCTCAAATGTCTTTTTTTTTAAGTCATTTTGTTTAATGAAGATCTAGGCAAGGCACACACATTGTCTTTGGTTATCTCTTGAATTTATTTCCTTTTTTAAAAAATTTTTATTGTGATTTGAGTTTCAACACATAGATTGTTTTACTAGCCAACCGTTCATACACGTTTTGTTTCATGACATTGCAGTCCTTACAACGTAACAACACTCTTCCACTTCTTCCTGTTTACCGTTCCCATTCATCTTTCTTTACTACTCATTCCTGCCTTTTGTGCTTTATTCCTGGGCAGACACTGCCCTTTTGCTCTCAGGTGGTTGAGTAACCTAGGAAATTCATGCCTTCCTGGGGATGTTACTGCTCACCTTGTTGTTAATGTGCCATCAAGTTGGAACCGAGCCATAGCTGATCCTCCAAGGGGTTTTCAGAGGCAGTAAATTGCACTGGAGGAGATTGCCCATCCTCCCATAGAACAGCGGGTGGATTCAAACGGTGAGCCTTTGGGATTGCAGTGCAGCTTTTTACCTCTAGGCCACCAGGGCTCCCTGCTCATCTTCTAGGCCTGTCTGTTGGCCGAAAGTCACACAATGAGGGTAAGTTCTCTTCCAGGCTTAAAGGGTGACTAAGAGCCATAGTAATTGGGGTTCCCCTAGTTTCCTAGCAGCTCAATAAACCCAAATTTACATGCTTCTGAGTTTTGTTCCACATTTACTTCCTTCTCTGTCCAGCACCCGTGTAGAGTGTCACCTCTAGAGCTGTCAGCAGTCCTCAGATGCTGCCTAAGTCTTCTGGTCTTAAATCTCATCTGTAGATCTCACCTTTTTAGAATCATTTGTAGAATAAACTGGGTTACTTGGGAAATAGAATAGCCTGGAGTTTAGATCTTGTTCCATTATTGCTTTTGTGGTTGTTGCTGTTGTTGCAACTGACCCATAGCTGACCCTCCAGGATTTTCAAAGGTGGTAAATTGCATGGAAGGAGATTGCCTACCTTTCTCTCATGGAGCAGCTGGTGGGTTCGATCTTTGGGTCATCAGTGCAACTCCTTACCACTAAGCCACACTGGACTTCCTTAACCACCAAACCACTAGACCCTCCTATCACCTTTACGTCCTGAAAACTGAAGCTTAGATGTTGAGGCTTCTTCAGTGTTGGGCTTGATTTCTGAGCACAAGGACATTTTATAGTTGGTATGGTGGGCTTCTGTCTTGAACCACGTTATATCTGCTTGTCTCAGTCTTTGTGATCTTTAGGTTGATCCCTGGGTTTCTATGTTGTCACATAGTATTTTCTGTTGGCTTTTCACTGGATGGCCATCTGTGATCATCTCTTAGGTCTATCATTCTGTTGTTGCACATGCTATTAGTGGATTCTAACTTGCAGTCATACTAGAGGACAGAGGAGAACAACCCCATAGGCTTTCAAGGCTATAGATTTTTTCTTAAATATAATTTTATTTTAATTGTGATTTTAACATTTATGGAGAAGTTAGATTTTCATCCATTCATTGTTGCACATTTTACCCCCCCTTCCCCCTCCCATAGTTAACTTTTTTTAAAATATTCATTCATTGCTGCACAATTACCTACCTACCCCCACTCCCAGTCCTCTTTGGAATGATATATCTCTTATTCTGGGCTGTTGTCTTATGTATATGCCTAATTATATATTCCTTTTGGACAGTTCTTTCCTTCATATGTTCCAATACAGTGGTCATTATCAATGTACTCTTATCCTATTCTCTTCCCAATCCCCCATGTCAGACCTGCTGTATATCAGTGGTGCTATGCAGTATTTGTCCTTTTGTGACTGAGATATTTCACTCAGCATGATCTGCTCCAGAGTCCCCCATGTTGTGTAATATTTGACAAATACATTGTTTTTCAGTGCTGCATTGTATTCTGTTATATGAATATATACCATATTTTTTCTATCCATTCGTTTGTTGATGAGCATTTGGGTTACTTCCATCTCTTTGCTATCATAAAGAACGCAGGAATAAACATGTGTGTGTGTGTCTGTGTGTGTGTGTGTGTGTGTGTGTGTGTGTTTGGACTGCTACCTCTTTCTCCTGGGGAGCGGCTCTGGCTTTGAACTGCTAACCTTTAGTTAGTAGCTGAGTGCTTAACCACTCCACTACCAGGATTCCTTATGACTCCACTGTTGTCATGTACTGTCAAGTCAGAACTGACTCACAGCCTCCAGAGGGTTTTCAGTGACAGTAAGTTACATGGGAGATTACCCATCTTTCTCTCACAGAGCAGCAGCTGGGGGATTTGAACTGCATGCCTTTGGGATTGCAGCACACCGTCTTACCACTAGGCCCCCAGATCTCCCTCATTACCCCATTATAAAGTATTTCGTTTTAAAGTATTCCACCTAATAAGTGAGAATGGAAAAGAAAACTAGAATATCACTATTTCATAACCCGTAATAGGGTGATGGGGATTTTTTCTGTTGTGTGCCATCAAGTTGGAACTGATTCATAGCTGACCCTCCTGCAGGTTTTCAGAGGCACTTAACTGCATGGGAGGAGCTGCTGGCAGATTCGAACTGCCCAAAGGCATGCCTTTGGGATTGCAGCACAATGTCTTACCACTAGGCCCCCAGAACTCCCTCATTACCCCATTATAAAGTTTTTCTTTATAAAGCATTTCACCTAATAAGTGAAGATGGAAGATAAAACTAGAACATCATTATTTCATAGCTCATAATAGGGTAATTAGGGGTTATGAAATAGTGAAGTGCTACTCATCTTCTCTTATTAGCTGGAATGCTTTATAAAGAGAAACTTCTGCTTATCAACTATGTGGTTGCCCTGGTGGCATGGTCCCTGAGGAATCATGCTGTTCCGTCAAAACCCAGCACTTCCCTAGTGGCTTTTGTCTCCCAGCTGCTCCACAGGAGAAAGGTGGGCAGCCTCCTTCTGTGCAATTACAGCCTTAGTAGGGTCAGCTATCACTCGAGTCCAACACAACAGTGACATTTCAGGGTTTTTTTTTAGAAAGCATGATTTATATAGGAAAAGCCTGATTTTTTTTTCTGTGCCTCTTACTTTTAACTGAGGCTCAATGTCAAGAAGACAAAGATTCTCACCACTGGACCAATTGGCAGCATCAGGATGGATGGTGAAGAGATTGAGATTGTACACAGCTTTAGTTTGCTTGGCTCCATAGTCAACAGTCTTGGCACCAGCAGCCAGGAAATTAAAAGGCGCATTGCCATGGGAAAGTCTGCTGTTAGGGACCTCTCCAAAGTGCTGAAGAGCAGTGGTGTCTCTCTGGAGACTAAGGTGCGTCTGATACAGGCCATGGTCTTCGCAATCACTTGTTATGCATCAGAGAGTTGGACAGTGACCAAGGAGGATAGAAGGAGAATTGATGCCTTTGAGCTGTGGTGCTGAAGAAGAGTATTGAGAGTACCATGGACTGCTAGGAAAACAAACAGATTTGTCCTGGAAAGGGTTCAACCGGGTGGCTCCTTGGAGGCAAGGATTCTGAGGCTCCGTCTAACATACTTTGGTCATGTTGTGAGGAGAGACCGGTCCTTGGAGAGGGACATCATGCTTGGGAGGGTGGAGGGACAGCGCAGGAGAGGAAGGCCCTCTATGAGGTGGACTGATTCAGTGACTGAGATAATTGGGATGGGAGTGTCAGAGACAGTGCGATTGGCATAGGACAGAGCGGAGTTTAGGGCTGTTGTACATAGGGTCGCTATGAGTCGCAAGCGACTCAATGGCACATAACAACAACTTACTTTTAACTAGTTTTTAGAATAGTATGTTAGTTCCCTAGAATCCTTTACAGATGACAGTCTTTATTTTTTTAATCTTCACAAGCTCACAAATTTTAAAATATTTCACATATTTTACTCCATTTATTTTTTTCGATGCTCATCTGTCCATCTCTGGCCAGAGAGTGAGTGCCAGGTGGATTCCTTGTCCCCTTGACATTCTCTCCCTCTGATAGCTATGGTATGAGTAGACAGTAATGGAGGAGGAGACCCAGCCTGATGGGTCAGCTCCTGAAGAGTGGACCTTGACTCTCCCCACTCTGGTGTTTCCTCCCTGGAGACTGCGTGGCATGGGGCTTGGCACAGGGTGAGCACACACATACCATGACTAGCCAGAAAAAGCTGAGGTCTAGGAGCCTCTGTATGTAAATTATGAGGTCTCACTCTCTGCACTGAGTAATGGGACTGAAGCTTGATTGATGGTGTACCCCCAGCTCACCTCCTAACCTCCTTGTTTCCCTACTCTGTCTGTCCCTGTCTCCTTAACATCTTGCCAGGTCAGAACCGCCCAGTCCTGGATGTGGGGCCACATCGGCGGCTGCAGTGGACATGGCTAGGCCGAGCTGAGCTGCAGTTTGGGGACCAGACCCTGCATGTGTCCACTGTGCAGATGTGGCTGCTGCTGAATTTCAACCACACAGAGGTGCCCCAGCTCCTCAGCCTCTCTGTGCCCCCTCGTCCATCTTGTCAGTCACTGTTCCCTGTCATTCCTCCACCTTCTTTTCCTCTCCCTTCTAGCTCTCTTCCCAGAGGTCCTCACAGGCCCTGTTTCTCCTCTACAGGAAGTCTCAGTAGAAACTTTGCTGAAGAAATCTGACCTCTCACCAGAGCTACTGCTCCAAGCACTCATGCCCCTGACCTCTGAGGATGGCCCTTTGACCCTGCATGAGGGTCCGAACCTTCCACATCGGGGTAGGTTGATCCCCTGTTCTGGGAGTTGGGGCTTTAGGCAGGACAGCATAGAAGGGAATAAGGACAGTGGCATCCTCTTAGCTTTCACTGCCTGTTCCCACTTCCCTCTGGGTACCTGACTGAGAGTGGTTCCAGGTGTGCTGCGGCTTCGAGCGCCTGGGCCCCAGCCCAGTGAGGAGGCCTTGTGGCTGATACCTCCCCAGACATACCTGAATGTGGAGAAAGATGAAGGCCGGACCCTGGAACAGAAGAGGAGCCTCTTGAGCTGTCTTCTTGTTCGTATTCTGAAAGCCCACGGGAAGAAAGGCCTCCACATTGACCAGCTTGTCTGTCTGGTGGGTAGCAAAGGGTGGCGTGAAGTCAGGGCAGGAAGGGAGTCACAGTTGGAGCAACGGTGCACTAAGTCCAGGGGTCATCACAAGAGAAGATGAACTCCTTCAGTGTAAGGCTTCTGTAGGGCATTCTTCCCACTTGGGTTTTCTGACAGACTGGCAGGTAGAAAGTAGAGAAAGATGGGAATATTTCCTATGTGCAAAGCTCTATTCTACGAGTTTGCATGAATTAAAGAATTTAATCTTCATGGCAACCCTATGAGATAGGTGTTATAATTCTCATTTGATGAGTAAGAAAAATAGTCTTTTTGTTGCGATGTTAGATTGAACCTGTCTGTCTGTCTCTGTGTGTATCTCTCTCTCTCTAATATATATATAATATGTAATATATGTAATCTATATTATATATAGATTTAAAGCTTATCAGTATAAATAACTTCATAACTAATAAAGTTCATTGATTTCTCTTGAGTCACACTTCCACTAAATGGCATAGCGGGGCTTTGAACCCAGGCCTTAGCTCCACATTGCATGCTATACTTGCCAGCCATGGGTTATTTTCTCCCCAGGTGCTGGAGGCCTGGAAGAAGGGTCCAAACCCTCCTGGAAGCCTGGGCCACAGTGTTTCAGGGTGTGTGAGCTGTACCAGTACTGATGTCCTTTCCTGCATCCTGCACCTGCTGGGCCAGGGCTATGTGGAACGGCGTGATGACCGGCCCCAGATCCTGATCTATGCCACCCTGGAGTCCACAGGATCCTGTCGGGGTCAAGCAGACATTCCCTTCTGTGGCAACCAGAGTGCTGAAACCCCCAAGCCGAGGTAGTCCCCTTTGCTCTCTATCCCTGTGACAGGGGCTTCAAGTCAGTGGAGAGAACCAGCATTTAGTGGGACGGGGTTTGCACTGCCACGGCCCCTTGCAAAAGAACACTTCTTTTGTGTCTGTGTTTGCTGTCCTTGTTATTTATTTATTTATTTGCTAGTTCACCTTCCAGCTCTTTAGCACCATCCAACCAGAGGCCTTGACTGTCCCCATCCTCCTAAAGCCAACCCTTAGACAAGGGGCCCAGACAATTTATAGATTTTGTGCATACATGACATATTCTGTTTAGGGACACATACATTCTGAGATTTTTCAGGAAACCATTTCAGAGGAGCTTGTCATAGGGTTTCTGTAATTGCTCAGCACCTCTAGAGCTTTTTAAAATCAGATACAGTTCACCGGAGGTGGTTATGGCATTATTTTGTACACCTGCCATTTGCTTGGTGTGTAAAGTGAGTTCTCTGATAATCTTTCTCCAGCTTTCACATGCATCCAGTTCACCTGGAGGTCTTGTTAAAGTTGATGTCCAGCGAAGCTGTGGCAGGGCAGCTAGAGGTCCAGCCTCTCAAACATGCTCCTGGTGATGTTTGCTGACTCATAGACCACTGTGAGCAGGGAGACGACCCTTCTGTTCCCTGATTCATGCCCATTAACTAATAGCAGTGTCCCCCACATTTTGAAACAAACTGTTTTATCTTCTGACCATTGAGTTCAGTTGGTTATCCTGAGACTAGTTAGGCAGTTGGGAATTGCAGCTCAAATGGAGTTTATAGTTGTTGTTGATGTCATGTACTATCGAGTCAGAACCAACTAACTCATAACTGACCCGCCTGCATGTTTTTAGAGGCAGTAAATTACACAGGACAAAATTGCCCATTTTTTTTTCTTGAGAAGCTGCTGGTGTATTCAAACCATGTGCCTTCAGTTTGGCAGTACAAGCTCCATACCACTCAGCCACCAGAGCTCCTGGAGTTTCATCAGTGGGTTGGGGGAGGCAGGAGAGATACTGACCACTGCCTTTCTCTGCCCTCCCCTCCAAGCCCAGAAGCTGTGGCGGCCCTGGCCTCTCTGCAGCTGCCTGCAGGCCGCACCATGAGTCCTCAGGAGGTGGAAGGGTTGATGGAGCAGACGGTGCAGCAGGTGCAGGAGACACTGAACCTAGAGCCAGATGTGGCCCGGCACCTACTAGCTCATTCCCACTGGGGTGCCGAACAGCTGCTGCAGAGCTACAGTGAGAACCCTGAGCCACTGCTGCTGGCAGCTGGGCTGTGCGTCCCCCAGGCTCAAACTGCTCCCAGTCGCCCCGACCACTGCCCTGTCTGCATCAGTCCTCTGGAGCCGGAAGACGACTTGCCTTCTCTCTGCTGCATGCACTCCTGCTGCAAGGTAAGGCCCTCCATTGTCTCATCTGCCACTTTATTGCATTTGGCATAGTTACCTGGGAAAGCTACTGTTCACTAAACTGGACAACACTGGCTAAGCCCCTTAGGCCTTCTTTAACTAAAAGGTTTTGACATCTATAAATGGTGCCATTTGCCTTGACTCTGAAGGTGGTTAATTTAGGATTTACTGTTAGATAAGAGAAACTCCTCTGTAATAGAAAGTCCTTGAACTTTGCTGCATTTTAAAATCATCTGGGAGCTTTGAAAAATCCTGATCCCCAGGCTATACCACAGACAAGTAAATCAGCATCTTTTCAAGGTGAAACCAAGGCATCTGGGGTTTTAAAAGCCCTTCAAGTGATTTCAGTATCCCACCATGTGTGAGAACTGATAAATGGCCACATCAGTACCCAGATTCAGAGGGCCTTCATTTATGTGTTGTATATATGTCATAAATAAAATACATGATGGAAGTAAAGTAGATGATACAAAGTACATGACAAAGCACTTTATAAGCTAGACAGTGGTATTAAATTGGGAATAACTGGATTTTTTGTTTCCTTGTCACCCTTAAAGTCTCTTTGTTTCAGAACACTAATAAATATTTTATTGTATATCCTCATTTAATACAAAATTTTAGAAATTTTATAAACCATGAAACAGCGTAAGAGTAGGAGAAGATTATGGGAAGCTGGGGCTTGCTGCTGTCAGCCTATAGATAGAGAGTGAGTGGGCTGAAGAGCAGAGAACTGGGAGTTGAGTGTCTGGTATTCCCTGCCTCACAGCCTTTAGATTGGTGCCAAGGCCAAACACGTCAGCCTAGCAGGACGAGCTCTCATTGCTGCCTCTCCCAACAGCATCTACTGTGGTGGGTGAATCTGGGACACAAGCCTTTGTGTATCTGTGAATAATATGTATTTTCTTTTGTTTCCAACTTGGTCTGCTTCAAGCTACTCTACTTACATGGTTGCTTATGTGCCCTTTTTTAAGTTGTTACTTCCTTTACACTTTCATGTTGTCATTCAGCTAATACTTATCATGGACCTATACTGTATGCACAGTGATGGGCATTGTATGAGGGAGTGAAAAAAATCCAAGCAAGCAGTGGCCTGAGAGCTGATAACAATCATAGCTAATAATAAACAGAGGTTTCATTGTGGACCAAGCATTGTGCTGTTTTGCATGCATGATTTTACTTAATTCTCCTAATAATTCTGTGAAGTAGCAATTTTTAGTATTCTTATTTTACAGATGACAGATTGAGACATCTGGAGGTGAAGTAAAATGGTGAGGGTCAGGATTGGAACTTCAGTAATCTCACTTCAGGGTGGGGAAAAAAGCCTGGCCATTGCGTGCTGTGTACGAACACCATGCAGAGCTCCCTTCTGCACAATCTGTGGGGACTAGTGCTGCCAACCCAAAGGCCTCGCCTCTGTCAGTTTAATCCACTGGCAGCTCCAAGGGGAAAAGACAGGCAATGGCCTCCCATGTAATTTACTGTTGTTGCTGTTAGATGCCATTGAGTCAATGATGACTTTGCCCTGGCCTGCACCATCGTAACAGTCTCCAGCGGGTCCACTGCGGTAGTCACCGTGTCAGTCTTTCTCTGTCTCTCTGACCCTCCACTTTTCCCAGTATGATAGCTTTTTCCAAGGATTGGTCCCTTCTGACAACATATCTACACTGTGAGTGTGTGAGATGGTTTCACCATCCTGGCGTCCAAGGATGTACTTCCTCCCAGACAGACCTGCTTGGTTTCTTGACAGTTCAGTATTCTTCTCCAACATCACAATTCATAGGCATCGATTCTTCTGTTATCCTAATTTCCTTGTCCAACTTGCAGATGCATAGGAAGCAATTGAAAATACCATGGTTTGGTCCAGGTTCACCTTAGTCTTTAAACTGATATCCTTTTGCTAATGAAAAGGTACATGGTTCAAATCCACCAGTTGCTCTGCAGGAGAGAGATGGGCAGTCTCCTCCTGTGTGATTTAGTCTGAAAACCCGCTGGAGATCAGTTATGGGTCAGTGGTAACTCAATGGTACACAACAGCTTGCTTTTTAGCACTTTTGAGGGGTCCTTGCCGCAGATTTTCTCCACTGTAACACATCTTTTGATTTCTTGACTGCTGTTGCCATGGGTATTGATTGTGGACACAAGTAAATGAAATCATTAACAACTTCAGTCTTTTTCCCCCATCTATTATGGGACTTCACGAATGGGAATCCCAGAATGTTTAATCATGCTAATGCGAAACCTATACTTGGACCAGGAGGCAGTTGTCAGAACAGAGCAGGGTAACACTGCATGGTTCAAAATTGAGAAGGGTGTATATGCCAGGGATGTGTCCTGTCTCTATACCTTTTCAACCTGTATGCAGAGCAGATTATCCGGGAGGCTGGGCTCTATGAGGAGAATTGTGGCATCAGGGTTGGTGGAAGATCTATTAACAATCTGCGTTATGCAGATGACACAACCCTGCTTGCTTAAACTGAGGAGGACCTCATGTACTTGCTGCAGAGGGTCAAGGACTGCAGCCTTCAGTATGGACTGAGGCTCAATGTCAAGAAGACAAAGATTCTCACCACTGGACCAATTGGTAGCATCAGGATGGATGGCGAAGAGATTGAGATTGTTCACAGCTTCAGTTTGCTCGACTCCACAGTCAACACTCTTGGCACCAGCAGCCAGGAAGTCAAAAAACGTATTGCGATGGGAAAGTCTGCTGTTAGGGACCTCTCTAAAGTACTCAAGAGCAACAGTGTCTCTCTGGAGACTAAGGTGCGCCTGATACAGGCCATGGTTTTTGCAATCACTGTTATGCATCAGAGTTGGACAGTGACTAGGGAGGACAGAAGGTGAATTGATGCCTTTGAGCTGTGGTGCTGGAGAAGAGTATTGAATGTACCATGGACTGCCAAGAAAACAAACAGATTCATCCTGGAGAGGGTTCAACCAAGCTACTCCTTGGAGGCAAGGATTCTGGAGCTTCGTCTGACATACTTTGGGCATGTTGCAAGGAGGGACAGGTCCTTGGAGAGGGACATCATGCTTGGGAGGGTGGAGGGACGGCACAAGAGGGGAAGACCCTCTCTGAGGTGGATTGATTCAGTGACTGGGGTAATCGGGATGGGTGTGTCAGAAGCAGCGCGATTGGCACAGGATAGAGCAGGGTTTAGGGCTGTTGTACATAGGGTTGCTATGAGTCGCAAACGACTCGACGGCACATAACAACAACAGCAACAACATCATGGGACTGCCTGTTGTTCCAGTGGTAAGGAATTTCATTTCCTTGATGTTGAAATGTCATCTATGTGATTTATGCTTTGAAAGTCCAACTGAGGGTCACTGTGAGTCGGTTCCTATTCAAGAGCAGTGGGAATTGAAAAAATGCAAGAATTTTGTTTGCATTCAGTTTCCCAGTTTACCTGGGATAGTATCAGTATCAAACAATTTTTGTTTTGTTTTGATCTTTTCCTCAGAATATAAATAAGCCAGTAAGGTGCTTCATTTTTATCCTGTGGCTTGCAGGTGGATACTCCTTCTCTCCGGGGGTTTATGTCCATTATTCTGAGAGGTGTGGTAGTAGGTGATGTGATGGGAAGAGGGTCATTAACAGTGTAGCACGGGCTGCTGACCATGCACATACCAAATGGACTGAGTGGAGAGAAGTGGGAGGTGGATGGCCATTACCAGGTCGAGCTCTTGTAGTGGTTTGGGAGGGATAATGGCCTGACTTCAGGCAGGGCATTGATAAGGGAGCAAATGACGAGTCCTAACAGTGGCGGGGGTAGTGGTGATGTTATTGATCGGGATGTGGGGACCACAGTCGGCAAGCGTGTTCTATGGAGTGGAGGCTGAGGCCGCTGTAGGTGTGAGTCTAGGGAGGTGGGAACATGAAGATGGAGGAAAACAGCACAGAGCAATGAAGGAGCACCACTGTCTTTGCTATGTGGTCCAGCCATGAGCCACCCCTTCCTCAGGCTGCTGCTTTGATCTTGTCTTCTCTTGATTTTTCTTAGGACTTGACTTCTCTCTTTTTTGGTTCTCTTTTACCCATTTTCTCCATATTCATCCCAGAAGTCATCAGGATGATAGCACAACCCACACATTCTCAGCCAGTCTCCGGACCGCCCCAGAAGCTGCAAGATGGGGATTGGTTCTGGGGCAGATCTCAAGGCAGTCTTACTGTGGTCCTCTAGATTCCTGGGGAGGGAAGCGTGGCCCGGGACACTGGGCTGGTCTCCAGCATGCTCTCATCTCCTACTGCTCGCACACCACCTCTGAGCAGCCCTCCTTTGTCCCTCCCCAGTCCTGCTGGAATGAGTACCTGACCACTCGAATTGAGCAGAACCTTCTACTGAATTGCACCTGCCCCATTGCTGACTGCCCCGCCCAGCCCACAGGGGCCTTCATTCGTGCCATTGTCTCCAATCCAGAGGTCATCTCCAAGGTATCCCCTCCCCAAGAGCCAAACGGGCAGCACAGGATATGGGTTGCCATGGGAGGGCGAGGTTCTAGCAGGTAAGGAAGGGGCTGGCCCCTGGAGAGCCACACCCTCACTTCAGCCACTTCTGTCCTGCAGTATGAGAAGGCCCTTCTGCGTGGCTATGTGGAAAGCTGCTCCAACCTGACGTGGTGCACCAACCCCCAGGGCTGTGACCGCATCCTGTGCCGTCAGGGCCTGAGCTGTGGGACCACCTGCGCCAAGTGCGGCTGGGCCTCCTGCTTCAGCTGTAGCTTCCCTGAGGTGGGCCAGATACACACACACAAGACTCTGTCTTGTTCCATCCTCACCCCATGCGTGCACCTGAGTGCCCCTGTGTCTCCAGATGTGGCCTGTGCCTTGTCTCTCCCTCTCTCACACATGCTCTCTAGCAGTGCCACCTCAGTGAGGACCTGCCTGTGGGTCCTCACCACCCCTCCTCCTCCAGGCCCACTACCCCGCCAGCTGCAGCCACATGTCTCAGTGGGTCGATGATGGAGGCTACTATGATGGAATGAGCGTGGAGGCCCAGAGCAAGCACTTGGCTAAACTCATCTCTAAGCGCTGTCCCAGCTGTCAGGCTCCCATCGAGAAGAACGAGGGGTGTCTGCAGTAAGCAAGAGGGTGCACTGTGGGCAGTGGCATGGTCATAGGGCAAGGGGGAGGTCTGCGAGGGTGGTAAGACCAGCGGTGAGGAAGGGGCAGTGGGGGGCTTGTTAGATGTGAGCAGTCACTCAGGCACCCTTGTGCGGCACCTTCCAGAATGATGGGTCTTCTGTTCTTCTCACACTTGGTCCATGCTGTCTGAGGGATACACAGAGGAAGAAGAGCATGGGGTGGGCGCAAGACCTGGGCCTCTTCAGTGGCCTCCAGGGCCTTGGCATTCCTGGTGCAGACCAGCCAGTAGCAGAGCCCTCTGACTAGCTCACTTCTCCTCAGCATGACCTGTGCCAAATGTAACCACGGATTCTGCTGGCGCTGTCTCAAGTCCTGGAAGCCAAATCACAAAGACTACTACAACTGCTCCGCCATGGTAAGGTCCAGGGGCAGCCAGGGCAGAGGCCATGAGCAGCCAAAGCCTGGTGTCCAGAGCAGCCTTCAAGTTGCAGGACAGAGGTCAGGGTGGGGAAGATCGAGCACCTGGGGCCCAGGGGCTGTAAGCTCTCAACAAGATGGTATGTTCTAGCCCCAGAATAGGACTCCCACACCACAGAGCCTAAAGAGAGATGGGGCAGGGGGCTGTGTATTCTCGGGGCAACATGAGGGCAGAGTGGAGACTACTAAGCAAGTAGTCAGGAGGCAGGGCCTCACCCCACCATGCTGTGTAGCTTTGGTCAAGCCATCTATCTCAAGGCTCTGCATCCTTATCCATAGAGGAGGAGGATAATCCTGTCTCTCAGAGTTAGGAAATTAAATGAAGAAACTTAAATAAAGCGTAGAAGGTATAATGCAGAAAATATAGGAGAGCCTTTGTAAATGGTACTAGCACACAGGTCAGGAAGCTTTCATGATCTAGTGGGAAGGAGTCCAACCCAAAGGAAGACGTTTTGAATCCACCAGCTCCTCCAAGACAGTAAAACAGGCAGTCTCTTCCCGTGTGGTTTAAAGCCTCTGAAGACTCACTGGAGATCAGCTGTTTTTGTTCCAAATCAGGGGTACACAACGACATCAAACTGGTTAACCCCATCCTGTCCTCAGCAGGCTCCCAGTAACACTCCTTGTCCTTCCCAGGTCAGCAAAGCTGCTCGTCAGGAGAAGCGGTTCCAAGACTACAATGAGAGATGCACGTTCCACCACCAGGCCCGGGTGAGCTGGGACAGCAGGTGGGGAGGGAGGGGCCGCAGGTGCGAGCAAATGCCAGGGGTCCTGTACTGATGGTGGAGCTGCATTGGGCAGTGCTGACACACCTTCCCCTGTGCAGGAATTTGCTGTCAACCTGTGGAACCGGGTCTGTACCATCCATGAAGTGCCCCCACCTAAATCCTTCACCTTTCTCAACGATGCCTGCCGGGGACTGGAGCAGGCTCGGAAGGTTGTAGTGGGTGGGTGATGGGAGGGCAGGGAGGTGTGCAGTGGAGGATGGAGAGCTTGGCCCCTTCCATCTAGCGTGCCTGCAGAGTGAGGTGGGGCCGGGAGGTGCAAGCCTAGACAGCGGGAAGGCTGCCCTGCGCCCCTCCAGGTGCTGGCCTACGCCTGCGTGTACAGTTTCTACAATCAGGACACCGAGTGCATGGATGTGGTGGAGCAGCAGACTGAGAACCTGGAGCTGCACACCAACGCCCTGCAGATCCTCCTTGGTGAGGGCCTCGCACAATGTCTGCCTGCGGCATCCTCTCTCCTTCCTCCCCATGGGGAGCACTCCACCCTCAGCCAGGCACTAAGAGCAGGAAACCATGCCCTACCCTCCACTCTGCCTCCAGCTTCTCAGATTTTCATAGCCTGTCACCACCAGGCCACTGCTGTGTGTACCTGCACATCTTATCTCATGGTGGCGTAATCCCCCCACTAGTCCAGAAGCCTCACAGAAGTGAAGGTCCAGCTCTGGGCACTCAGTAGTTGTTCACTAGGTGTTTGTTGAAGGAAGCAGTGGATGAGCATAAGGGACCCTGCCCTGTGTCCACAGAGGAGACCCTGCTGCGGAGCAGAGACCTGGCCTCCTCCCTGCGCCTGCTGCGGGCCAGCTGCCTTAACACTGGCATGGAGCTGCTGCGGCGCATCCAGGAGCGGCTGCTAGCCATCCTGCAGCACTCCACCCAGGTACCACCCCACCCACATACCCTTCAACAGCACTCCAGCCATGTACACCCCCCACCATTTTACCCAGGTATCCCCCCACTGCACTCCACCCAGGTACACCCCACCATGACTCTACCCATGTGTCACCCACTGCACTCCACCCATGTATACCCCCCACCCATATACCACTCACTCCATCCAGGTTCCAGCAGCACTCCATCTCGGTATACCCACCACTGCACTCCTCCCAGGTATACCCCCATATACCACTCTACCCAGATATCCCCTACCACAGCACTCCATCCAGGTACATCCCCCTGTATCACTCTACCCAAGGACCCCCACCACTGCACTCCACCTAGGGACCCCCTGGGAATTGAGGAGGCACTCTGTGTGTACAAGGTGGTTCCCAGACCAGCTATGAACCCTGTCTGGGCTTCTAATAAACACAAGGTTGGTTGGCCCAGATGAAGGGTGGTTTGACGAGGCACTCATCAGAGTCACTCAGGGATCTCTTTCTAGGTTGTGCTCCCCAGTTGTGTTCATTTGGAATCCCAGGAGTGGGGGCTAGATCCACATCCCCTGCAGTGAGACATCTCTGAGCTTTTTCCAGTTTCGGCGCCCAGAGTGCCTTCCTGCTTCCTGTTCTCAAGGAGCCTGCTGAATAGTTGGGCAGATAAGGCATTAACACACATTGTAAGCTCCTTGGATGCAGGGGTCGTGTCTTCGCCGTGTCCCTGGAGACCATCTCTAACTTCAGTCACACAAAAGGCAGGGGTCGGAGTGCTGGGAGGGAGGGAGAGCAGAGGCCAGTACTAGCAGACAGCTCTTACAAAATGCTGGTTGACAGGTGCCAAATACAAAGACCCTGTGTCTCCTGGCTTGCCCCCCAATCCTTTGTCTCCTTGCCAGGATTTCCGGGTTGGTCTCCAGAGTCCATCAAGCGAGACCGGGGAGACGAAAGCCTCCAACGTGCCCGGCAGTCAGTGAGTAGGGCAGCCGGCACTGCAGGGGAGCGGGAGGGGTCCAGCTTCCAGGCTTGAGTGTGTGGCTCTCCCCAGGCCCCAGGGCTCCTCAGGGCTGGAGGTGGATGAGGATGAGGAGGAGGAGGAGGAAGAGGATGAAGATGATGTGCCGGACTGGCAGCAGGATGAGTTTGACGAGGAGCTGGACAATGACAGCTTCTCGTATGATGAGTCCGAGACCCTGGACCGGGAAACTTTCTTCTTTGGTGATGAAGAGGATGATGATGAGGGCTATGACTGAGAAGCTGGACACAAGGAGCATCTGGGGCTCCTGAGTCATGGGACTGAGGGTGGGGAGGGGACACCACCACTTCCCACTGTTTCTGGGTGGAGGGGGGGGACATCATCATTTCCCACTATTTTTGGGTGGAGCGTGGTTCCCAGTATCTGTGGCACCTTCATCTGTTGACCAAATAAATGTTTTTCATGTACCTCTCTGTGAGTGTGTTAGTCCACCAAAGGCCAGAGTCAGAGTCCCCCCACCTCCTCAGCAGCCCTCCCTTCCACCAAGTCTCCTCATTCTTTAATCTTCTCCGTGGACCTTTACACTCTTCCATCCTCACAGAAGGGCCCAAGCCTGGTGAGGGAAAATGAAGGCCCATGGGGCACGTGGCCATCGTCCCAATCCAGTCCATCTTCAGAGCCGGCACCACCAGCCCTCCCCAGGCTCAATGTTCTCAGTAGAGGCTTGAGGGGACTAGGAGGTAGCCTCCCAGGGAGCCTGCACACCAAACAGCTTAAAATGAGGTAGGGTAGGACCTGCCTCCACCGAGCCACATACACAGACATAAGGCTGGAATTTCAAACACGTCTTTTACTTTGGTACTGAGGCTAAGATCAAGAATGGTACTAGAGCAGCACCTGGGACCGGAAGATCGAGTAAGGCAGGATGACGTCAAGCACTTGGGTCACGGGAGGCAGCTGCATGATGGGGAGGGTCAGCCTCGAAGTAGCGATCCAGCACGGCCTCCACCTCGGCCTCGTCATAGTCCCACACCTGGACTCGCGAGCCATCAGCCGCTCCCCGGATCATGGCTGAAAGTACTAGGAAGGCAGAGGAAAGTGAAGGCGCCTTTCTCCACATCCCACCACCTGGTTCCCGTCCTGCACTGAGGGCTGTATTTGGAGCCCACCAAGGCAGTAGACAGATGGTACGAACCTCGGCCAGACTGCGGGCGAAACAGGCACAGGATCCGCTTGTTGAGGGCTATAGCCCGGCCTAGTTCATAGCCAACACCCAAGGATGGCTGCGTCACTTCTGCCACAACCACTAGGAACAAAAAGGAGAGTGAAAAAACATGCCCTACCAGGGTGGTCCTGGGAGGCAAGGAAGGTGACGCGTGGTCTCAGCATATTTGGGTATGTTGTTAGGAGGATCATCGTGCTTGATGGAAGGTGGAAGACTAGCAAAGGCAGGCCCTCATCGGGATGTCCTGACACAGTGACTGTAACAATGGGCTCAAGGATATTAGAGATAAGGATGGTGCAGGACAAAGCCAGGTTCAGACCTGTTGTTCTGAGGGTCACTATGAATCATGGTCAACCTGACAGCACCTAAGAACAACTGCGACGCTCGGGATTTGTACAGGAGATGCCAGAATCTGGATATGGGGGCCAGGGGTGTCCAGGGAACTCCATCCCAGAGAGCTGGTGGGTGATGGAGGACCACTCACCATCCGACTGTTGCAGCCAGGCCAGGTCCCGATCATGGATGAGCCTGTCGCCTCCAGCAGCCTCCTCCCCTGATGGTAGAGGGGACACGAGTCAAGGACCATTCTCAGTTAACTCCTCTGCCTGCACTGCACCTCCATAGTGTAGCTCCCTCCACGGAGAGACCTGCTCTAGATGGCCTCTGAGCGCCTTCCCAACATCAGGTTCCATGATAAGGAGTGAGGAACACAATCCTCTGATGTCTGATGAGGGCCAAGATGAGTGATACCCATGAGATCAAGGGAAGGACCTACGCAGCAGGTGAGGCCCATGTGTAAAAAGTCATCACTTGTGGTTTTTTAAAAGGTGTTTTCAATGAATTAATGATTGAAAACACAAAATTCAGTCATTCTATTTCCAGTCTCATTTCTGTCAACCATGCCTATATTTTCCAACTGCTGTTCCTTTTTCATTGTTTACAACTTTTGCATTCCAGTCACCAAGTATCATTAATGCATCTTGATTGCATGTTTGGTCATTTTTGGACTGCAAGATTTGGTAAGTTTTCAATTTCTTCCTCTTTGGTTCTACATGTTGTGTTGTTGTTATGTGCTGTAGAGTTGCCTGCAACTCATAGTGACCCTATGTACAATAGCCCTGAACCTGCTCTGTCCTGTGTCAATCTCACTGTCTCTTGACATACCCACCCCCATTACCCCAGTCACTGAATCAATCCATCTCATTGAGGGACTTCTTCTCCTGCACTGTCCCTCTACCCTCCCCAGCATGAGGTCCCTCTCCAAGGACTGGTCCCTTCTTGTAACATGTCCAAAGTATGTCAGACGAAGCCTCAGAATCCTTGCCTCCAAGGAGCAGCCTGGCTTCACCCTTTCAAGGACAAGCTTGTTTGTTCTCCTAGCAGTCCACAGCTCAAAGGCATCAATTCTCCTCCTATCATCCCTAGTCACTGTCCAGCTTTCCAATGCATAGCAAGTGATTGTGAAGACCATAGCCTGAATCAGGCACACCTTAGTCTCCGTCATTGCTTTTCAGTACTTTGGAGAGGTCTCTGACAGCAGACTTTGCCAATGCAATTCATCTTTTAATTTCCTGGCTGCTGGCACCAAGAGTGTTGATTGTAGAGCAAAGCAAACTAAAGCTTTTTACAATCTGTCTCTTCAACATCTATTATGATGCTGCCAATCATCCCAGTGGCGAAAATCTTTGGTTCTACATGTAGGATTGTATATTTGGATACTAGTCATATTAACAGGTATTCATTCCTTGTGTGCATATGGTTAATACCCTATCACAACATTTTATTTCATGATAGAACTTGAAATTTGACTTTTTGACTGTGAGTGCAACACCATTCTTCTTCTGTTTTACATTCCCAGCATAGTATATCATGTGATTTGATTATCTGATTCAAAGTGGCCAAACCTAGTCCATCTCATCTAATGCCTAGAATATCGCTGTTCATATACTCCATTTTTCATAATTTCTAGTTTTCCAACATTCAAGCTGCGTACATCCCATGTTCCAGTTATTAAAGGATATTTGCTATTATTTTCCCTCATTTCGACTGACTTCCAATCTGGGCTCCGTGTTCCTCTAGTTTTCAGAGGCCTGTTATTTAAGAAGTGGATGGCCAATCCTGCTTCCTAGTCTGAATCTGGAAGCTCTACTAAAACCTGCCCAGCATGGGAAACCTTGGTGGCATTTGACATACTGGTGGCAAAGCTTTCAGACTCACAGCAACTGACAAGTTAGTACAGCACACTGACAGACAAGTGCTATACCAGTTAGAACAATCTTCTTCCAAACACAACAAACTGACACTTTAGTTTGTACCTCTAATAGCAAATCAGTCTTGACTACATCTGTGGAAGCAATCACTGGAGCAGCTCAGTATCAGCAGTCAAAACTAGGCCAGGGGCATTACTCATGTTCAGACTGAGTTCAAACTGAGGTCAAACACAATGAAAACAAGTCTGTGAGAACCAAAATATGATCTTGAATCTAGTCCATCTGAATTTCAAAGTCATGATAAGAATTGATTTGAAGCATTTCACACCAATGATCAAAGACCAGATGAGCTGTGGGATGTTATCAAGGATATCATCCATAAAGAGAGCAAAAGGTCATGAAAAAGACATAGAAAAAAACAAAACGGAAAAAAAAAAAAAACGGATGTCACAAGAGACCCTGAAAATTGCACCTGATCATCAAGAAACCAAAACAAAGGGAAAACATGCCAAAGTAAAAGAGTCAAACAGAAGATTTCAAAGGGCTCTTCAAGAAAACAAAGTAGTATAATGGAATGTGCAGAGATCTGGAATTGGAGCAGAAAAAGGGAAGAATTTCCTCTGCGTTTCTCAAGCTGGAAAGACTAAAAAACACTGTAAGCCTAGAGTTGAAATATTGAAAGATGCTATGGGCAATATATTAAATGACCCAGGAAGCATCAAAAGAAGATGGAAGAGAATACAGAGTCAACTGTACTGAAAAGAACTGATTGGCACTGAAAAATTCCAGAAAGTACCATATGAGCAGGAGCCAGTGGTAATGAAGGAGGAAGTGGAAGCTACACTGAAAGTATTAGCAAAAAATAAGGCTCCAGGAATTGATAGGGTACCAACTGACTTGCTTCAGTTAATAGATGCAGTCCTGGATGTGTTCACCAGTCTATGCCAGAAAATTTGGAGGACAGCTGTTACTGATGTCCTTCCTTGGTGGAAGTGTGAGGCTGGCACAGGATAGGAAACAGTTCCGATTAGGGTCACTATGGGTCATTCTCGACTCAACAGCACCTAACAGTAACAAGGTAAGGACCACTTCACAGCGGGTCTAAGCGGTTAGGCAAATGTACACGGAACCTTGGCTCGGAAGTGGAGAGGGATAGGTAAAACATCAGAGGGTGGGCGTAGATGGCAGAGAGGAGACTGGTGTGTAAGGAAAGGACTGAGAATAACATGTAGAGTATCAGTGCTCAAACTCTAGTGGCACCATAATTTCCCAGAAAATCTGGTAAAAATGTAAAGACCCAAGTGCCAAGGAGCCTGAGTTTCTCTGACTTCATAGGGTCTCCCTGTGATCCTGACCCATCCTGAGATTTAAGAGCCTCTGCCCTAAGACAAAACATGACCTGTAAGAAGTGGTAGGACAAAGGTGGGAGAAGAAAACAGGCCAGAGGCTGAGAGTTTCTGAGTTTCACCTAGACATCATCCTACAAGCTGGGGAGGCTAAGAGTCACCACATCAACCTGGCTGCTAAAAATATAGATTTTAAGACCTAATACTAGATTATACATCACAATTTCTGCCTAGATCCTAGGCTATGTATGTTGTCACATCTATAGTCTATGTACCATTGAGTTGACTACAGCTGATAATGACTCTATGAACAACAGATCTAAACCTTGCCCTATCCCTGCCCCACCCACAGGGTCCCCATCATGCTTGAGCCCACTGTTCCAATCACTGTCCATCAGGTCCTAGCAATTTTATCATGTCTTAAGGAAGTTTCCCAAAATTTCTTTCAGCGCCACAAAACCTGGATCTGTCCCCGGCAAGAGCACTTAAAGTTTTCTATGCAGCATACCAAGGGCACTAGGCACAATTTTCAAACAGTGTTGGAAAGATTGGGATCAAAGGCATGTCTTAGCTAGGTGCAATCGACATGAGTAACAGCCCACAAAGAGCAGATAGTAGAGACAGGCTGAGGGTGACCTCATGAAGAGGTTTGGTCAGCGTCTACAATGGCTGGACAGAAAAGGTGCAGGCTGGAGGATGAGCTTCCTTTCAAGTGGGGAACAGATGCTGAAACATTCTGCAGTTTTAAGATGGTGTTGGGTCTCCCACCTGATGCTATCAGATAGACTTAAAGTTGGGAAATAAGGTAAGGTGAACATGTGAAAATTATCCACTGCCCTCTTGACATGTTTAGTGGGTAAAGGAGAAAGGCAGAGTGGTCAGAAATGAGATCCTTTCTGTTACGAAAGCAAAGAAGCAGAGGTTGACAAGAGTCGAGTGGGTAGAATTCAGGAGCATAGCCACCAGGACACAGCAAGCTGACACCCTTAAATCCTTTCCACCAGGGAAGCTCAGCTGCACTCTTTATTTACTTACTTTTTGGCGAACTCAGATTTTCTTCTTTTTTTTAAATTTTATTTCATTATTTTTTTGTGTGTACATCATCAAATCAGATCTGACTGGTGCAGGAGGAGATTGCCCCTCATTCTTCAGCAGAGCATCTGGTGAATTTGAGCTGCATTATCTCTGGGATTGCAGTACATCTTCTTGTCACTAGGCTACCAGAGTTCCAAACTCAGATTTTCAAAGCTCTTAGACTACATATGTAAACACCAAACGGCTGCCTTGGGCATTATGCTCTTTTAAGAATGATCTACACAGGATGCAAATAGCAATAGCAAACTGGACATATCAGACAGAAAATTTAGGAGCCTGAGAGTATTTTAATGGAGCAGGGACAATCTGGAAAAGGAAGTCAAGGATGGTTATACACTAATTGAAGCTCAACATCAAAAAGAAAAAGATTCTCACCACCAGGCCAACTGGCAGCATCATAAAAGATGGAGAAGAGACTGAGGTTGTTAACAACTGCAGCTTGCTTGGCTCCACAATCAACACTCCTGGCACAACAATCAATGAATTGTATGTGCAGGAATGGTTGAAAGTTCTGCTGTGTATATTCTCAACAGTATTTTTTAAAAAGATGTAATTTTTTTAAAAAAATTCTTAAATTTATATATTTAAAGTTACATATAAAATTTGTAACATTTTTAATGAAATAGAAATATGTTTTATTATATACATATATGAGCTCTGGCAGCCTACTTTTGAAGGGAGTTGCACTGTTAATCCAAAAGCGCCTCCCTGCAGTTTGAATCACTAGCAGCAGTGCGGGGAAAGATGAGCATGCTGTTCTTATGTGCCGGTCGAGTCGACTATGAAGGGCAAAGATGCGATCCCTCATTTATTTGCACAGAGTAAGGGAGGTAAAAGACCAGACAAGCCAGAAAACAGCAAAGCTAGGCTCGCTCAGTCACTGCCATTCACTCACGACTCTCCTCTGGGTTTCCAACGCTGTAAATCCGAAGGGAGGAGATTGTGCGCCTTTTCTGCACAGAGCAGCTGGTGGATTCAAAGCGCCAAAGAATTGAAGCCTTTGGATAAGCAGCGCAACTCCCTACGTACTATTAAACTACCAGAGCCCCAAACTTGGCACAGAGGATGCAAAACCCAGGAATCCAACCGTGAGGTGGGACGGAGGCGGCAACCGCGCAAAGCAGCCCCAACACTCCATTCCACACACGCTCCTCCCAGCGACCGAAGGAAGTTTTACAAGAAGGAACTAAAGGTCAATATAACAACTGAATAATGAGCCTGGAATACACACTGCAGGCGCCCTGGCCCGTTCTCCATACGGGCAACTAGCACTTGGGGCAACTAGCACGGTCACTGCCTTCTGGGAATGCAGTTTCGGTAGAGGGACAGGGAATCAGCCACCCCTTGCCCCGCCCCCCTCACCGCACGCGCCCAGCTCCGCGGCAGCCACGTGCTCAGTGAGCACCGTCCCAAAGCGCCGCAGCCTCGACACGATCCGCCCGTACAGCTCTCGGTCCTCGCGTCCGCCGCGGATGCTCCCGCAGAAGTACAGGGCCCGCCCGGCCGGCTCGCCCCGCTCCCACGGCTCCCCATGTTCCCGCGCCCCGGACACCACCGCCGCCATCCCTGTGCCGCCACCGGCTCCGACCGCCAGGGGACGCGGTCCCACGGCCACGTGACCCGCACCCCGCCCTAACCCACAGCTTCCCGCAGGGTCCTCTGCCCGAGGGATTCCGGTTACTGAAGAGATGGGAGTAGAGTGTTGCTAATATGCAGAGTGTGGCGGCACTTACGTACCAGTCTCCGACTCTTGTGCAAACGCAGCACTCCTTTTCCCTTGTCCCGCTGGACTTGAAGAGTGCCTCAGAGATGTACTCCAAGACCTCCTGGTTTTCCCCACTCAGCCCCTTCCTCCCCCACAGTTGTCTCCTTCATCCCTGCAACTGATGTCCAAAACCTGGCAATCATTTTTTACTCTTCTCACTGTACACAATTCTCCCTACATACCTGAAAAGCCGAAACGGAACCTTTTGGCTTGGAATCAGTTCCAACTCATAGCACCCTCTAGGATAGTGTATAATTCCGTTAGATTTCCAAAGTACAAAAACCCCCAATACAATCTTGATGGAGGAAGGAGTCCTGGAAGTGTAGTGTTTAAACGGAAGGGTCAGCAGTCCGAACCTACAAGCTAAAGGTGTAGCAATCTTTATCTACAAAGCCTTGGAAGCCCGATGGGGTTCTACTACTCGCTCTTCTAAGGTACCAGTGTAAGTTGGAACTGACTGGACTGCGCGCGCGCACACACACACACACAGAGAATGTTATGGAAGGCAACTGTCACATTTTTTCTCTAAAGGAGAGTTTGGTGGCTTCCAACTACAGACTTTTCTCTTAGTAGTTAAAACACTTAACCAATTGCACCACCAGAGTGCCTTCCTCCCTTCTTGATTACAATTAATTTTCTGCTCAGGGACCACAGTGATCCTATGGACATTTAATTAGATAACAGCTCAAAACTCTCAGATGGATCCTGGGCCTCTCCCATCCCCTCACTCACTTGTCTCCAGCCATGTTTATTAAACATGCCAACTGTGCTCTCAACTTGGAATATTTTTACATTTGTCATTCCCCTGTGCCATCTCCCCCACCCATGCCTGCCCCATAGTTTCAGAGGTCACCTCGTCTCCTTCAAGTCTTGATTTATACATAGGCTTCCCTGACTACCCAACTGAATATTGCAACTCTACCATCCCTCCCTGCCTTGTTTGTCCTCCTTCCTATAGGCTGTATTAATTTTGTTTGATCTCTCTCTCTCTCTTCACCAGAATGTCAGTTCCCAGGAGGGCAGAGATTCTTATCTGTTTTGTGTATGGCTGTATCCTCTAAAGTTTCTAAAACTGTGCCTGCTATATTTATCAAATGTTTGCTGACTAAATATGTGGATTAACTGTTATAAATTAGAAAGAACTCAATGGCACATAACAACATATTTGACAGCACTCTAATCTGATGAGTCATGTAGCAGACAAAAATGAAGCAGTGTCTTTAGAGAAAAAGGTAAACACACCGTTGCACACCAGTAAATGAGGGTTTCTTCTATATTTTATTATTTTGTTGTTATGTGTCATGAGTTGCTTGTGACTCATAGTGACCCTATGAAACCTGCTCTGTCCTGTACCAACTTTACTGTATCTGACACATTACCCCAGTCACTGTCTCTGTCCCTCCACCCTTCCAAGCATGATTGCTCTCCAAGGACTAATCCCTCCTTGTGACATGCCCAAAGTACCTCAGATGGAGCTTCAGAATCCTTGCCTCCAGGGAGCAGCCTGGTCTCACCCTCTCTAGGATGATACTGTTTGTTCTCCTGGCAGTCCATGGTATAGTCAATACTCTTCTCCAGCACCACAGCTCAAAGACATCAATTCTCCTTCTATCCTCCTTGGTCATTGCCTAGCTTTCTGAGACATAGCAAGTAATTGTGAGAATAACAAAAGCAAAGGACCAAGTATTTTAAATGGAACAAGTGCTGTGCACAGTGCATCCCTGGAGGAAAGTACCTTAAATGGTTTCTTCTGTATTCATCTTTAATAAGAACTATTAAAATGCTGATATTAGTAATTAGACCATGAACACATTGTAGGCTGGGTAAAAGGAAAGGCTAAAATAAATAAATAAATAAATGTGATACTCAGGCTGTCAAAAAAAAAACACCCAAAACACAAAACATGATCAGGGGAGCTCTGGTGGCTTATTGTCAAGAAGCTGTGTGGCAATCCTGAAGGCATGCAGTTCAAATCCACCAGATGCTCTGCTGGAAAAAGAAGGGCAATCTTCTCCTATGCCAGGTGGATCATATTCGATGGTACACAACAATTAAAAAAAATCAGCGAATGAATGTAAACTCAGTAAATTTTGAGAAAAAACTTGAAATACCACAGAAATACAGCATTACAGAGAAGACATTAAAGTATTTTATTTTATTATTTTTAATGTGTGTACCATCAAATCGGACCTGACTGGTACAGGAGGAGATTGTCCCTCCTTCTCCAGCAGAGCATCTGGTAGATTCAAACAGTGTACCTCTGGGATTGCAGTGCAGCTTCTTGCCACTAGGCCACCAGAGATCCCTCAAAAGTATTTTTTAAAAAAGAAAGCTAAGCTATGTTGTTGTTATGTGCCATTGAGTCTACTATGATTCATAAAAATGTTATGATCTATCATGCACCATGCTCAGGATTTCTGATAAGTCCGTGCCCGTTGTTTTAGTCACTGTGTCGATCCACCTTTTTGGCGATCTTCCTGTTCCTATGACCTTCCACCTTTCCCAGCATGATATATTTTTCCAAGGACTGGCCCCTCCTGATAACATGCCCAAAGTATATGAGATAAAAGTTTACCATCCTTACCTCTAAAGAGCACCCTGATTATACTACTTCCAAGAAAGACATGCATGTTTGTTCTTTTGGCGTCCATAGGATATTCAGTACTCTTCTAGAAAACCACGATCCAAAGACATCAATTCCTTTGTTACATTTATTCATTGTCCAACTTTCGGATGCATTGGAAACAACTGAAAATACTATGGTTTGGATCAGGCACACCTTAGTCTTTAAACTGACATTCTTGCTCTTTAGCAGTTTGGACGAATATTTGACAGCAGATTTTCCCAATTCAACACTTTTCTTCTTGACTATGTATGTAACCATGAGATTTGACTGTGGATCCAAATAAAATTAAGTCATTGACAACAAAGAATAAGTCATCATAAGCTATGTTGTTATGTGCCATCGAGTTGCCTGCGACTCATAGCGACCCTACGTACTATAGAGACAAAAAACCTTTAGGAAATTTATAGATTTACAGTCCACCTTAGGCTTTGCACAGATACATTTGGAAACACTTGATGGAGGGTTGCTATGAGTCGAAATTTCTCGATGGCAGTGAGTTTGCTTGTTTGGTTTTATTTTTATCCTCACTCACATCTTCCCTTATTAAGGAACATTATACAGGCAAATATATACACAGAGCATCTCATTTCTACCCCTGAATCTTTAAAAAAAATACTAGAAATCAACCTTCCTTGTATCTGAGTTCACATCTCTGAAGTGGCAGGCATCCCTTTTCACCTCAGAAAGGACAAAGAGTAATAGGACTATTATGTGTATTTCTCCACGTGGGAAGTCATGCTCTGAGCTTGGTCCTGTATCATTTGTTAGCTGAGTGAGGACACAGAACCAGGAATGGCTGCCTGCTTAGGCGTCCAGGGTGGGAGCAGAGAGGACGGGGTTGGAGAAACAGGGCACTAAGTGATGGAATGCAGGAACAAAGACAATGCACAGTGGAGAAATGCCCAGAAAAGACAGAGGACAGAGACAGTGGTTGCCAGCCCAGTGGTTGCTTAGGACTGGGGCTGGGCGTGGGAGCAGGAATTGACTACAGCAGGCACAAGAGGACTTGTGGAATGATGGAAAGGTTCTGCAATGGGACAGTAGTGCTGGCTGCACAACTCTGTACATTTACTAAAAATTACTAAATTCTACGCTTAAACACGGATAACTTACTGATATGGAAAGTACACCTCAATAAAGCTATTTTTCCAACAATAAAAATAAAATAGAGAAAAATAGTATAATAAACCTTAATTTGTTCATCACTCTTGATCAACAATTATCAATTTATTGTGAGCCATGCATAATCTATATACATACATCTTATTTCCTCATTGTGTTATTATGTTGCAAATTCCAGATCATGTTATTATTGAATTTGCAAATATTTCAATCTGCATCTCAAAAAAGGGATTGCTTTCCAATGTAGCAATAACATGGTCAAGTTAAGAAAACAAAATTTCTTTAATTTCACCAAATATCCAGTCATTGTTCAAAGTTTCCTATTATCTTAGAAATGCTTGTTTGTTTACAATTTATTTCAAGTCAGGGCTATGTATTGTGATTGAGTGACATGTTTTGGGGTTTTTTGTTGGGTTTTTTTTTGTTTTCTGTCTTTTTTTTTAAATTTATAATTAATTTCAACGAAAATTTACAGTCTTTGGATTTCCATTCATTCATTGTTGCACTTTTCTCTCCTCCCAACCTTCCCCCCAGTGACCTGTTTTTAAAGTCTATTGGTATCTATATGCCTCTGCATTTCTATCTCTTTTTTTAGTAGTTTGTGGGGGCGGGGGAGGTATTGTAAAAGAGATATAACATAAAATTTGCCATTTTAACCACTTCATTTTTTAATATAATTTGAATGAAAGTTTATAAAGAAGATTACTTTTTTCATTCAACCGTGCATTCACATTTTGTTTTATAACATTAACTTCAATTCCCACACCATAATCATACTTTTCCCACTTCTCCCTATAATTCTGATTTCCATTAATCCTTCTATATTTCTTTTTCTTTAGAAATATTGTACTGATTGTATATTGCCTTATCATATATTCAATATGTATTATTGCATATTCCCTGCCCCTGCACTTGTTGTTTTCTGTTTTAGAGAACTTTGCTGGTTTTGCTGAGATAATTTAGCCATTTTAAGAGCATAATTGATTGACCTCCACATATGCATTGGCATCCTTTCCCAAAACTTTCTCATCAGCCACTAATTATTAACTGT